CAGTGTGCTGCGGAAATATCCGAGATCATCATGCTCGGAATGGACACATACATACCTCATTCTTCGTAAAGATTATCACCATCGAAAACCTGGTTCAACAAAAACTGTTCTAGAACTGTTGCCTTGAAACAAATAGCCTACCATCGCTGGCGCAAAAACCCTAACCTCGCGACTAGAGCAGAATACGTTGATGCCAGGGATAACTGCAGCCAAACAATAGATGCTTCAAAAGAAACATACAATGTCAAGATAAGATCGAAACTCATAGATTGTCCCAATGGCTCCCGTTCGTTTTGTTCCCTTGCTAAAGCGGTCGGAAGAAATTTCACTGATAGTTCATTTTCACCACTGTCCAAATCCAGCAAATATTTTTGCAGAGATGTTCGCAGAAAACTCTACTTCAGATTCCCATGGAAAAGTGCCGCAAGATATTCCCGTTGAGAGTCGAATGCCCGAAATCGTCTTCCGTCAACGCACTATCAGACGAATTTTGCTTGGTCTCAAAACGAATAAGGCTAACGTTCCTGATGGAATTCCATCCATTATCCTCGAAAAATGTGCACCAGAATTAACACCGATTCTCTGCAAGTTGTTTACCGTCTCGTACAGGTCGGGTATTTTTCCATCATGCTGGAAGACGGCTAGAGTCCAACCAATCCCCAAAAAAGGGAACAAGAACCTGCCCAACAACTACAGGCCCATTGCCCTGTTATCAGTAATCTCCAAAGTGATGGAGAAAGTCATCAATATTGAGCTTATCAAATATCTGGAGAGCTCAGGAATCATCAATGATAGACAATACGGCTTTCGCCACCGAAGATCTACTGGAGATCTACTTGCCTACGTCATCCATTTATGGCAAGCTTCATTAGAAAAACACGGGGAATCTCTAGCTGTCGCGTTGGACATATTTCAGATTCCCAAGGAAAAGTGCCGCAAGATATTCCCGTTGAGAGCCGAATGCCCGAAATCGTCTTCCGTCAACGCACTATCAGACGAATTTTGCTTGGTCTCAAAACTAATAAGGCTAACGTTCCTGATGGAATTCCATCCATTATCCTCAAAAAATGTGCACCAGAATTAACACCGATTCTCTGCAAGTTGTTTACCGTCTCGTACAGGTCGGGTATTTTTCCATCATGCTGGAAGACGGCTAGAGTCCAACCAATCCCCAAAAAAGGGAACAAGAACCTGCCCAACAACTACAGGCCCATTGCCCTGTTATCAGTAATCTCCAAAGTGATGGAGAAAGTCATCAATATTGAGCTTATCAAATATCTGGAGAGCTCAGGAATCATCAATGATAGACAATACGGCTTTCGCCACCGAAGATCTACTGGAGATCTACTTGCCTACGTCATCCATTCATGGCAAGCTTCATTAGAAAAACACGGGGAATCTCTAGCTGTCGCGTTGGACATATCGAAAGCATTCGACCGTGTTTGGCACGAAGGACTCCTCCACGAACTACCATCATACGACTTACCACCCCAGCTATGCCATCTCTTATCGAGTTTTCTTTCGGGCAGATCGCTTCACGTGGTGGTGGACTGTGTATCGTCTGATACCATTGGCATCAATTCCGGTGTTCCACAAGGATCAATTTTGGCACCAACATTATTCCTGCTTCATATCAATGATCTGTTGGGAGTAACAACTTGTCCCATCCACAGCTTTGCAGATGATAGTACCCTCCATACTGCGTTCTCTTCCGGAATTCCCATTTCTTCCCAGGAAACTAAGAACTCATGGCGCAGGCAGGTCAATGCTGTCAATGAAGACCTTGCTGAAATCACAGCCTGAGGAACCAACAACCTAGTTGAATTCAACGCCCCAAAACTCAAGCCTGTATTTTCTCTAGAAAGGCGGAACTCAGTATGCCCAATATTGTAATGTCTGGCACCACCATCCCCACCAAGCCCACCATATCTATGCTCGGTATTTCCATCAGCAACACTCTCTCATGGGATAATCATGTCAGATCCATCACAAAAGCTGCTTCACAAAAACTCGGATTCTTGTTCCGTGCGAAAAGCTACTTTACACCTCAACAGCTACTTGTGATCTACAAAGCGCAGATACGGCCTGTTCTAGAATACTGTTCCCACATATGGGGTTAAGCACTAAAACATACGCTGATGCTCTTAGATTCCATCCAGAGAAGAACCATCTGCGCGGTGGGTAACGCCACACTCACTCACTCTTTGACATCATTGGAACAACGTAGAAAGGTCGGCGACCTTTCACTTTTCTATCGATACTTCCACGGAAAATGCTCTTCGGAAATCTCTGCTATCATCCCTTCACTAGCAATACCAGTCAGACGAACTAGACAAGCCCAGTCAGCACATCCTTTCATAGTCAACCTCGAAAAATGTCGAACAGCAGTTTATCAAAACTCCTCCATCCATAGAACGGCTAGGCTCTGGAATTCATTGCCTGTCCCTATCGTCCCTAGGAACGCACGATGTCCTTCGAACATTATAGGGATTTCCTTTCGTGCGCTCCAAGCGATAAAAAAACTCTCGACCAACATCTACAATATTGACTTATCCTATCAAAAAATAATATAATAATAACTCAAAGAGCAATATTCATCAAGAGCAGAGAAATCAAGATTAAGACTTCAGCGGCCTCTAGCGCCAAAACTAGCCATTAGATCTATTTGTATTTGGGAATTTTGTTCAGGATGCCTTGGACTATAACAAAAATTCAGCCAATTCGACAGGTCAATAAAACTCTGTTAGTTGAGAAGAATGGAAAGTAGCCACATTGGGTCGTTTTATAGGCATGCTAGAAAATTCAATACGCGGGCATGATGCGTTTGTTTGGATATTGATTTTCTCATTTTCTTGTATCGAAAATAGTTATTTTCGTTACTAATGCGCGAAATGCTACCTTCGGGGATCGATAACTAATTCTTTCTACAAACGTCTAAAAACGACAAGGTTCGTGCATTGATAACAAATTGCGAAGTGACACTTTTTTCAGTTTCCTACGTTACCATGATGCCTTGCACAAAACAATGCGCGAAGTACCTACTTCGCGCATTGTTATGTAAAATATATGAGATATTTTTATTTCCACTTTATGGCCCTCAATCGAGCAAACGTCCACGAAATCATTTATTTCTGAATGGCTGCGCCTCGTTAAAAAAATCAGATCTCGATCGCCAAAGTAGCATTTCGCGCTCTAGATACAAAAATAACTATTTTCTACAAACGTCAAAAAATGACAAGGTTCGCGCATTGACAACAAATTGCGAAGTGACGCTTTTTTTCAGTTTCCTACGTTACCATGATACCTTGCACAAAACAATGCGCGAAGTAAAACAGTGCGCGAAGTACCTACTTCGCGCATTGTTATGTAAAATATATGGAATATTTATATTTCAACTTTATGGTCCTCAATCGAGCAAACATCTACGAAATCAGCCATTTCTGAATGTTCAGCAATAACCTTGTTTTATCTCTTCGAGCGCACGAATGGAAATTTCTATTATGATCGTGGAACATCGTGCGTACCTAGGGAGGATAGGGGGAAGCCTTTCAAGCCAGTTCAACACTATTTTTTATATCAAGCTTAGCATATTTTCACTTTAGAACTATATTTTTTGACGTTTGTAGAAAAAATGTTGTTTGCAACTCGAGCGCGAAATACTTTGGTCATCTCGACTATTTTTTTAACTCGGCTACGCCTCGTTAAAAAAATCAGATCTCGATCACCAAAGTAGCATTTCGCGCTCTAGATACAAAAATAACTATATTAGTTAGAACAAGTATTAAAAATACAATTTTCTTGTCTGTGTTCCTTTTGTATCTCGCTTAGTTTATGAGGAAAAAATACATTTTTTTCCACCTCTAGCTATAGAACCTACCATTATGTATTCCTTTTCAAGGTGTAAAGTGTGTGTTTACTACCAAGGTAGTTTTCGTCATTTTATGAACTACTAGTCAATAACGACAAAGACACCTCTGTTATAATTAACCAGAATTCACTATTCTGATGCGAGATTCGTAGAAATGGCACTCGAATCTAGTAGGTATTCATGATGTCATATGGTGTCATGGTCATGCCTACTAGATTTCAATTAGAATTGACATGAAGTGCTTTCATAGTGACAATAGGTCCATATTTCAGTTTCACAGAACTACAATTATTGAAATATATTGCTATAGTGGTGAAAAATAGTTATTTTCCTAACAAGTGCGCAAAGTGTTACTTTTCCGCACGCAAATACAGTTAGGCGAACGATGCGGAGCGGAGTTCGAATGAGTTTTTGCGTGCGGAAAACACACCTTGGTGGTAAACAATATTATTACCACGGGGCATAAAAAATACTCACATGCTTATGTGAACCTTTTTCCTTAAATATGACAAGGAATCCCTTCCTAAATGTTTTCGCATTTATTCATTTACAGGGTTTTTAAGTTTTCAATCGAGAAAAATTGATAGGCGATATTGTACTCGCAAAATAAAAATAAAGTTCATATAAACTTGTATGTATTGGAGACAATGAACTCAATCGTACAGTTCATTGATTGGAGATTGGTAATCGTGATACGGGGTTTTGGCATCAGAAATTATTGGCCTTTTCCAGTATAAGTTTTCATAATGCCTAAATTCTATGCGGTCGGTGTGATGTGTGATCTCAATGGATGTCTTGAAGAAAACTATATTAGAATTTGGATTCAAATCAGGTTTTAATTTTGTTTTATCAAAAACTAAGCAAGCTTCAAAAAAACTAGTTGAACAAGAAATTTGTATATTTTTTTTTGTTAAATCAAATAAAAATATGGAATCCAGACATATATCTATGAATAGAAAGCTTTTCTTTTCAAGAACACCTTTTATTTCGAGAACGAACCACGCCCTGTATATTATCTGCACATGAAGTATTTTTGTTGTTGCATGGTTTTAAGGCTTTAGGTGTTCTATTCAGTTCAAGTCAAACTAACCGATTTCCTAACGCTAATATCATATCATTTCTCATTTTGAAGAGGTTATTTCTTCAGAGAATCAGCGCCTTCCTCTCAGGTCGAAGGCCAGCAGCCCCCAATGATGTCCTTTAAGGCGTTTCTGGCCACACAGGATGACAATATATCTGATAGTGAGGCTATAGAGAAATATAATGATTACAAGTTAGAGTTCCAGAGGCAGCAGCTCAACGAATTTTTTGTTGCACATAAGGATGATGAGTGGTGAGTTATATTCCATTATTTCAATTTCAAAGTGTCCTCAGGGTTTTTAATTTTTATAAATGAAGGTGTATGCTTAGCACATACTTATCAATTAACAATATGGATAACAACGGGTGCGAAGTTGATGCTAAAAATATGAAACAAATGATCATACGGATTTGGTGGTATAATGTGCATACGCAAATATAGTAATCATCACAGACATGCGTTATTGGAGACAGTGGCGTTCAACAGCTTTTGAATCAAAGAAGTATGTGTTTTATTATTCCATAAGGTCATGACATTCTGTTGTGTTGTTCTTTCGTTTCACGGGCATGTTTAGTAGGTTTGATGAATTTTCAGAGAATATTTTCCATTCAAACTACATCCCTGTCTGAACTACTTGAAAATTTTACTTGGTCATTACATATTCAACATGAAATAGTCATCCTAGCCCATTTGAAAATGTGGTTATATTGCAGTAGTAGTTGTGATGAAAGGAATGTTTACATGTGGATAATTCTTGATATCCTTTTTTATGCACCGTAAATAAAAGGTATAGTATTAATTTGATTATTTCTGCTATTATCCTACGTCCAAACTACTAGGTAAGTGTACCTGCTGAGTGTAACCTGCCGATACCATCTGATGATAACCAAGCCGATAACCATTGATCCTGATGACTAGTATTAACAAAGAAATACTTACTCTTATTGCAGCAATTTCAACGAATTCGTCCTGTTGAAGCAATAATATTAACATAAATATTTTTTCCACCACTAACCTGAGTAATCATCATTATTCCAGGATTTCCTCCGAGAAGAAGTAACACTTTTCAAACCTAATTAAATGATAATAAATTGATAAAGAAATTTTATCTAGCTAGATAAAACTGTCACCTAACCGATTCATATGCAACAAATGAAAAATGAAACATTCTTTTAACCACCAAACATACACTTCTTCACCAAACAGTAGCCAACAGTTTAGGAAACATTTTCGTCAAAAGTACTCGTCCGATTTGGACGTTTTTGTTTTTAATGACAAGTTATTTCCATCTGAACATGAATCACGACTTTCGATATCAACACATTTTTTGACCAATCGCAAAGATTTCAGCTATGGCGGTCAATACGATATGATTTATTATGTAGATCAGCTCAATGATTGTTCAATGGTATCATCTGCGATATTCATAAGGTTCAAATATTTTGAAACATTTTAATCAATACTATATTTTCAATATCTATTTGCGATATTTACCAGTATACTTCCTTACTTCATGCAGGCGCAAGGTTCTAACGTCTATATCAAAATCACTGTCACTTAAATTCCCACTCGTTTTTTATATTCATTCACAATCATCTGGAATTTCAATACATGGCTATTTTTATATAATCAATAAAAGATGTTCATATTTCAGTGTTACTAGTAGAAACAATAGTATATCTACCTCTGGTGAGAATGCTAGGTCACTTCTCACCCTAGGTGAATTATACTATCATAGTATGCTGAACGAGAAAATTGGAATAGGATAGGTTTTCAAGATCATTGTGCATAAATGCATAAATATCCATGAATGTAATGTCAAAGATTGAAAGGTTAGATGTCACGATGATGTGTCTGTCTGTCTTTTGAACTTGCTCATTTGAGCATGCGCAGTATATCACCTTATGCTTATGGATGTCATTTGTTTTCAAAAAACTGCTTCCTTTTGCGCTATGAAAACAGATAAGAGATTATCGATATTGTTCATTAATCCGTATATGATGCTTAGGAGTAGACGTTTGAAATTATTCATGGAAATTCAGGGCATATGAAGAATACTGAAATTATAGCTTGGATTTTGTATGACATTTCCTTCCTTCATCAAGCTTTGACAGGAAGAAGATACCACTTTATTCAAGGTGATTATCTTAGCAACTTCAATAGAGGTTTGTAGAGAACCAAAGGAGACATTGGCCTGAAATTACTGGTGCAGCTATAGTGCAATGAGTGAGGGTTACTTAGCTGTGTGCACGTGTAGATATAAAAGTGATTGTACCAAATGTTGCATTTCCTGCAAAATAATTTATTATTTTTTTTTTTCATTTTCCGTAGCAGAGTGCTTTCGACTATACAGTCATCATCAGTGCTTACTCGTCAGGTTGACAAGAAAATTATCCATAAAAATATCTTTGGCCCTGCTCATTGTTATAAATATTATGGCTGAATATGGCACAAATAGATTAAAATTTGTTTCCCAGAAGGGGGTAATATGCAGATTATATTATTATATTTGAAAAAAATAATAATAAACTATTTTGCACGAAATACAACATTTGGTACAATTATTTGTATAGTGCAATGGTTTTTTTTCAAATATTTTTTATATGCTGTCACTCAAAGAAAATTTGACCCATGGAGTGACTAACTGATATATTGATGCAAATCATATTGTCTATTGAAATAAAGCATACCCTATAGCTAAAGCAATGATTAAAGAGATATAACCAAACATTTGAGAAAAACGCTTATTTGACTCAATGGTCACTAGTGTGCTTTGGATGGTTTCGAAATTCATGTCGGACAATTAATAAAAAAAAAATAGTTATTTATTTTCATATAGTATTTTTTCAACATTATTAATCTGTATCACACGATTTTCTCATAAGAATGTGCGTGTGCTACGTTTGAGAATTTACAATAATACTATTATTAACGAAAGTTACAATAAATGTTAATCAATAGTTTACAATAGAGGTTAAGAGATAGTAATAATGCAATTATGAAATATAATAGTGTTACAGTATGAAGTAATAGTAATATTAATTTGTATAAGTTGATAGGTGACTATCTTCATTTTATTGTTGTTTATTTTTTTGTGAAGAATTCACATCACAAAAATAAACAATATTGAATAAGACAAATATTTTTCAAAAATTTAATATGAAAATGGAATCTAAAACCATCCACACACACTTGTGACAATGAACATGAGACCAATGAGCGATTTTCCATTTTTTTGTGATATCTCTGAAAATGTACATTCCAGCTATGCATGCTTCATCATTTATCAATAGAAAATATATTTTCACGTCACTTAGTATGAAAATGGTTTGGTCTTTCCATTTGAGATAAAATGTTAACGAAAATATCAAACACGCTATTCAACATTTCGGATTATTATTGAGGTAGTTGGTCACTTCATATGTCAAAATATCTCAGAGTGAAATGAAGATAGGAAAATGATTCAAAATGCAACAGCTCCAGAATTTCACGTGAATTTCAAACATTTATTATAATATACAGGTGTTTCCAATTGGAAAAACAATCTTGATGTTTACTTCCGGTTAATTCCAATGTTGGTCCGGAAGTGACAGCGGATTGAAAATATTTAAAAAATTCCATCTTGACATAGCTGCAATCACAATTTCGGGCTGGTGTCTCTTTCAGTTATCTATAAACTTTTGAAGATTCAGTTCAATGAATCACCTTGTATAACATTCTTCAAGTATGAGTTCTTTTATGAATTTCCTCTTATTTCTTCATGTTGATGGAATGCAGTTTGCAATCTATGAGGGCCGATTGCTCGAAACATTTGACAGAACAGTAAATATTTAATTTGTTTATTTCCATGGAAACGTGTGCCTTGGCTAGCGAGTTGAAACAGTTGATTCTTCGTTTAGTTGACAGAGAGGTTACAATCCAATATGGCGGACTTCCCGTTTTTCTTTGTTTTTTTTTTTAAATGGAACACCCTGAATATTTTAACATATTCAAGTTCAACACATTTTTTCGAATTTTACCTCCTCGTAACAAAGGAACATAATTTTTTCACAATTAGTTGGGGAAGATTCAGAAATGTTGTTTTCCACATCTTTCTTAGTTTAAAAATTATTCGAATTGCAAAGGAAATTCATAAACCAAGTAGTATGTGGATTTTTGAATGTTTACAATTTGTTACTGCACCGAATGTTTTAATGATACTCTACCTTAATTTATTATACTTTAATAAAACCATCAAAAACGATACAAGTCTACAAGCATTTTGTAACCTTTTTCGTGTCTGAGATCTCCTCTCTGCCCTTCTGGCATAAGACATCAACAACGTCACGGTTGTCACTAACTTAAGGTAATAATAATCTTTATTATTCCCAAAATAACATATATGTTTATAGCAGGGAAAATTATGAAAGAGCAACTGAAAAAAAATAAAATTAGAAAATCATTTTCAAATCATATACATAGTACATATAATGTTGTTTCTTCTAGAGACTGTTGAATATAAATTTCTCAACACTTAATTTTTTCTTCAGTCTGGCAGGTAATTCATTATAGAGAATTGTTCCATTGTATAAAATAGATCTGTTACCCATATCTGATTTAATTTTGATGAGAGTTAACATATCTTTTTGTCTGGTAATGTGTTCGTGTTTATGACTATTGACTTCAATATACTAAAACACTGAAATACAAAAATGATATGTAATGTTTTCCTCAATGTATGTTCTAGAGAGAGAGATATGTAGGTGTAGATGGCCCATAGGGGTTCCATCTGAAAAAAAGTTTTTGATCAAAATGTGATGTCACTGAATTGGTTCAACAATAAGTGATACAAAAAATCATTTTTCAAAAATTAATTATTGTGGCCTTGACCATTTCTCATTTATTCAGGACCTGTTGAAGTTGAATATGTAAAAATATACAGGGTGACCCATTTGAGAAAAACAAAGTTGCTGGCATTTCTAGAAAAACCGGAAGTCCGCCATATTGGATTGTAATGTGATCAAGTCCCAAATGGTTGCTTATATATCTGTACCAAATTTCAGAAGATTCGTTAACGAATGCAGAAGTTACAGGGGTGGCCCGATACCCTGTGTCACACTGTATATGGTTCACATTTGGAGTGAATTAATATAATTAACAAGCCATCTTCATTTTATCAGATTCAATATTTGAAGTTAATAAATATTGAAGCATTGAAATTTCATAACCTGCGATGATATTATTCAAATTCATCTGTTAGGCTGAAAGCAATAATTATTGAGGTACAATTTCTAATATTGAGGATAAACATTTGAGAATATTCATTGAAATTGTATTATGTAAGTCATGGAAACCATAAATTTTTCTCGAAGTGATCCAGAATTTTTCAAAGATAAAAGATTAAAATCCAAAGTCGGTCTACCACAAAATTATATTTGAAAACGATGAGTATGTGTAACTAGTTTCGGCCTGTATGGCCATCATCAGACACCAATTGTATTATATGTAGCTGAAAGAGTGTTGAGTACTCATAATTTTTCAATTTTCTAGTTTGTGCTCATGCATTATACACTGTGATGCAAAAGAATTTATCATGAATAATGGTATATGATTCATTTTTTGAAGTGATATATATAAAGTTAATTTGACAGTCTATAAAACATTTTTATTGATTGGATATAATGTTGGGATATAATGCGGGATTTGTTTTATGTCCTCTGGTTCTGTTATTTCAAAAACTTCGCAGAAGGGGCACACGTTCTTTCTTGGCATCCCAAATTTAAGGCAGAATTTAGATATACATATGGTCTGATGCAAACAAAAAAATGACGCGGTTGGATGGTGTTAGCGTTCTTATTGTAGAAGTTACTAGATGTGCTATCACCGCCCTTGCCACATGAAGAAAGTTGTAATCAATCGAAAACTAGCATACACCTTCATTATTGTAAATATCAGCAAGGTTAAACCTAACTTTTTTAGGTAGAAGCAACCCTCATCCCCCCCCCGAACCCCAAAAAAATATTCTCGATATCCCACACCTTCCATGACTTCTATCTATTGTGATTTTAAACTCCTTTTTCTCTACAGCGAAAATTCGAGACCAACCGAAGTATCTTGTTACTTGTGTGACAACTACAAGGAATCATTCGCGTTTTTTAAATCGTTACAAAAAGTTGTATGAAATAATCGAGAAATATGTGGATTTTTGTTTTACCGTTAAAAAAAGCTATGCGCGCAATGCATATGCTTTCGCGTACAATTGTTAGGGTATTTCTGAAACAGGTGAGATTACGTCAGAAGACGAGATAAGAGTTTAGTAATAAGGATTCAGTATGTGATTGATGAAAGGAAAGCTAATGTAACAATCAAGAGTCGATTTAGTGTTTGGATTTCGATTGAGATTGTTACAGGAGCTTGCAGAAATGAATGCTACATTTATCTTCAAACATGTTGACTGTGGTAAATATGTGTTTAATGTGTTTAATGTTCGAAGAACATCGAGGGTACCTAGTAAGGATAGGAAGAGGAGGTGGGTGTTGGATATTTTTTTCACTTTTGGAGGTTATAAGTTCTTGGAAATACTTCCAGTGGCAAAGAATTCCAAACTTGATTCAGTTCTTTCAAGCTAACCAGTTTTCGTAATATTTTAAGTCACTTTTGTTCTGCATACCATGGTTTTATATTGTACAGACTGTTCAAAATGGCGCTAACAAAATTTAACTGCAAATCAAGCGTCTATAGCAAAGAGCCTATGGCCTAATTGGGTCGACAAGAAAAACTAGTTTTCGATTTCAGAACGTACCCAACTCTTCGAATGATTAATATTTTGTTAACAAAATGACAAGCAAAACATACGCACATTTTCAGTGTAGTTGGTTTTTATAGACGTTCCATTTAAGACTTCACGATTTTTTACCATTATCGCTCTACCCAGATAAATAAATGCTGAAAATGTCTTCTATTTGGCGCTATAGTTCGTCGTTTTCGTGTGTAAAATTTCAAGAGACTGCTTTGCCTTCATATTACATTGTTTTGTGAAAAAGCTTCTAGTTACAAATTGTTGGGAATGCTAATTTATTTTCAATAACCTCTACCAATTCATCAAAAATTTACCCATATTTCAGCTGTCGTTCGTAAATAATGATATTAGATATTTGAATTTCACCAGTTTTTTTTTTATTGTGAATTATTCGAAAGTGATGTCAAGGTTGCTTTCCTTCCACCTTCACAGGTTTTCCTACTTTGAGCGACGAAACAGTTGTTTGTCTTTTTTTTTTTCAAAAAATTCTAAAATTTAGTTGAATTGAGCTTATATCGAACGAATCTACTATTAATTTACCAGTTAAAAGTTATGAATAAATAAAATAATGTAAAGTGGCGCCCTCCATCTAAAACAACTAAACTGGATATGATCATACATTTCACATGTGATTTTATTGACTCATAGCAGAAAACCTCCCTTGGCGAGACACATTGAAATTCAAACAAATACAAAATATAAGTCTATTCAAGACGACGTATAAATCACAAGAATATTCGATAAAATCATCGATGTCTTGACTGTCTCGTTGAATGCCTCATGAAAAAATTATTCTTTTACACGGTCAACATGTTATAATTTTCATCTTATTACAATAACTTCACAAATTAAATCGATATTTTCTACCATTTCAACAAATTTTCAATGCATTATGAAATATTTCATAATTCATTACTCTACCGAAATTCCTTGTGAGCTAATTCCCAAGATGAAGATCAAAATTAACATGGGTTCAAAATGCTTCCTTCTGCCCCTGAGAATGGTTTTAATATAATATCTCCGACACCAATCAGTGGATTGAAACAAAAGTTGGCACAATCGCTAAATATTTTATGCTTCATTGTGCTTACTTTAATTGTTGTCGGAAATATCAAATCGAAATCATTCACAGAGGCCACATTTGTGAGATCATAACTCCCTAAGGAGAGAATTTCGACACCATGTTGATATGCACTTTTTTTAGGTAGTTATTGTAAGATGGCAAGAGCAACTCTTGTAGCTTTTTTATATGAATGGTTGAGTGCATGAAAAAAGAAATCAAAAATACATGAAAAAACTCAGTTACTGAATTCGTGAATTGATTTCCTAGGTTCAGAATGAAATACCATCCAGAGGAGTCTGTCAAGAGAAAAAATGAACAAACTGCTGCACTTAAGGTATGTTTTTTTGTGTTTTGAGAATTTTTTGTTCAAATTAACCTGTATACCAGTAAAATTCAAAACAAATTTCGAAAACATAGCGAATTCCAATTAAATGCAAATTGGACCCGGACATTTAGTACAGAAAATGGCTTTCGGCTAATTTTTCTGAAAATTTGATATTTTTCAGATTTCAGCGTCCTTATTACACAGTCCAATTTACAGATCGGTCCTATTAGCAGGTTTCGAGCTACAGGGGTTCAATTAGATGATTTTGGTTGTTTAGAATATTTTGCATCAATTTGAATTATGTGTTCTAAGTCGTGATATATCTTCCGTAGAAATAAACGCTCCACGTCAAATTTCTACTTCATGAATCCCTCTATTCGAATAGATAATATTACAGACAGGGTATTGCATTCCATCATGACAAGGTAATATTCATGGGAATAGACAAATATTGAAAATATTCGATTTTTACTCAATCACTGAAAACTTGAAAACAAACGGCTAGAATCGGCCAATTATTTGACACACTATGGATCTTGATCATCAACATGATGATTCATATGATTCCCTCTGAGATACAATGCCCGGTTTGCCATATATAGGGTGATGACAATTTGAAGTTTGGAATTGATGTAACTCATGTACAAAATGAGATACATATAACGAATAGTTCATAACTGTTTATATAATATATGAAGTGGAAAATAAAATCTCTCATAATACCCCCACCAACCCCCTGAGTCTCACCCCAACGCATATCATTTCAATAGTATCCCCTACTTGTGATACCTCATGTTTTAGTTTCAGCTGGAATATTGTTCATTTTTGGCTGTTGTTCTGTGTGTGATACTCTCACCTGAGTTCGTCAGACGATACGGATACAGATAGATAGATAGATATAGGACAGGTCAGCACAAAGTACATGTATAAATAAAATGTTTCTTAAAAGTTAACAAACAATAGGAATGTAGATTAAAAGAAAAGGAGAAAATATCTGAACAATAATAATTATCGATGATAAATTTCAGGTAAAATATTCTTCATAACAATAAAATAAAATTATTGAAAATCATACATCAAAAATGTTCAAAGTATTCGTCAAGATTGTATGGATTAATACCCAGTAAAAAACGTTTGGTTTTTTTTCTGAATATATGCACTTGTTCAATTGCTTTGAGCTCACTGGGAAGTACATTGTATAATCTCAGTCCTATCACGTTTAGTGATTTTTGGCAGATGGTGAGATGTGGATTTGGTAAATGGAAGTCGTTTTTTTTTTCCTCGTGTTGTAATTGTGGTGTTGATTATTCGTGGAAAATAAATTTTTATTCGCGTGGATGTATGTTAAAACTTCTAAAATATAAAGACCAGGAAGTGGGAGAATTTCAAGTTTCTTGAAAATATCTCGACATGAAGTCTGCTGGGAGACGTTTGCAAGAGAACGTATTATTCGCTTTTGTGCGATGAATACATCTTTCGCTGCTGGAGAGTTTCCCCATATTGTGATTGCGTAGCAGATTCTTGATTGAACCTGAGCATGATAGAACAGGAGTAAACTAGGTGTGTCTAGAACACTTTTCAAGATTCTGATTTGAAAACATTTGGAGTGTAGAGCGCTAGTTAGATTTTTGCAATGTGATTTGAAGCTGAGATCATTGTCAATTATAATACCTAAGAATTTGGAGGATGTACTGTGTTCAAGAGGTGTGCCACAGATGTTTACGTCTAAGAGAGGTAGATTGGTGTTTTGTCTGGTATGGAAAGTAGTAAAACTTGTTTTTGATGTGTTTAGAAATAGTGAGTTGTTGCTCAGCCAACTATGTAGGGCATCAGTTGTGTTGTTTATTTTATTTTGGAGTTCAAGTGGGGATTCATCAAAGAAGAGCAGGGTAGCATCATCAGCAAACAAACATGTGAAGGCTCCTGGCAGAACAGTTGGCAGTTCATTTATATAGATAATGAAAAGTATTGGTGCTAGGACGGACCCTTGAGGAACACCAATGTTGTTTTGTTGTGGACTTGACATATGAGTTATTGTTTCATTATCGCTGGTGTGATTGATTTTAACCCGCTGGATTCTTCCTTCAAGGAAGGAACTGAACCATTCATAAGGTTTTCCTCTTATTCCATTCAAATGAAGTTTATCAAGCAATTTTTCATGTACCACACAATCGAAGGCTCGACTGAGATCGCAGAACACTCCTGTTGGATTTTGTCCAGATTCAATAGATTTTAGAATATTTCCATAGAAAGAATGGATAGCACTGATAGTTGAATGTCCTGCACGGAAACCATGTTGATCGGGATGCAGTATGTTGTTTACGTTTAAAAAGTTCAGAAGTTGAGAAAGCATAGAATATTCAAAAATTTTTGAGAGTACGGGTGGCACTGTGATTGGCCGATAATTTTCTAAATTATGCGGATCTGATTTTTTGAAAATTGGGGAGACCAGAGCATTTCTCAATCTCGTGGGATATTGACCCTCTTGAAAAGAGATATTGATTATATGGGTGAGGGGTTCGATGATGTAATCAGCAACTTTTTTTATCAAATAACCTGATATTTCATCAGGACCACAAGAATGTTTATTCTTAAGTTTATATTTTATGATATCCATAATTTCTTTTTCAGTTACATACTCTAAAAAAATGCTATTAGGTAAACTTCTCTGAGAGCTCCATCCAATCCAGCAAAACACCTCCAATTTAGAAGCTGTAAAACTGTGGCATGTCTGCTACGTTTGAGTTCTCAAAAGATTATCGAATTTGTGTTCTGGAAATTGTCAAAAGCTGCTGATTAATATTTTTCTCATTGTGGCTATGTAGGATTAAGAAGTTCCGAGACCAGCATCAAGTGCTGATTTGGAATTATTTTTAAAATAGCGTCAAAAACTGTTATGTACTAAATTAACAATAATTGAGATCAGCTTTTTTATAAAGCCTTGAAAAAACCGAAATAAACATGAAAAACCAATAAGCTGATACAGCTGATATGAAGGTGTTATGCCCCAGACCAGCGTCAGATCCAGAAAAAAGAAATTGATAAAAATAACTGTAATGTTTGTATTAGTACTTATATAAGCGCAGTACGGTAGTTTCGCCGTGTAGTCCTCTAAAAAAAAAAAACTCTGCCACTGTCGAAACCTCGCCTAAAATATGGCGATATTGAAAATGGATGCAAAAACGTCAGAATTAATTTTACTGAAAAATCATTCCCAAACGACACTTATCCATAAGCTGATTATTTTCATCAATGCGTTATTGGACTGCTAACTAAGGGTAACGGAGTTCCATATTCGATTCTGTTACAAAAAGTTTTACATTGTTATTGATTTTCAATACCATATAATTTTTACACAAACCGAATTTTGATGCCCAATTTCCTTCAATTCCGATTCTCAACCTTCGTCTTCAATAAGTTCAATATGTACCAACTGTTCGGTACAGATAGTACCGCAAAGAGAAAAGACCAAACTACTTTTCCTTAAACTATTTTCCCAATAACAATGAAACCAAATACAAATACATAAGCGACGGTACACCAAACTCCGTCGTCTTACGTTTACTTCTACCCAAAACCAGGTCCTTCAAAACTGTCCCTTAAAAAGTAAAAGTTAAGGATCCATCTGTGTCGTTTCTAACCACTTTAGCGCATACACTTATAGTATATTAATGATTATCCAGCCCTTTTAAGCTCAACTACAATTCAATTCACGAATATTTATTGGATCACGACTACCTAAGCCCTCGTTTAACTTCCAGTTTACTTACTTACAAATGAAAAGAGAGTTCTGGATGTGAATAAGCAGTTTTCCTGCTTCACGACAAGATTACGCAACTTCAGGATTATCGATTGTATTTTTTATTGTTCCCTCGTTGGATCCAGTATACTGGAACCAACTCCCCTTAAGTCGAAATTTGTGCACTGCCTGAGTGGGAGTTGCCTTACGAACTCCGTTTCGCTCTTATCCACCGGAATTGTTCAAAATATTCAATGATCACTAAAATGTCACAAATTTCGAGAGCATCAATACAAAAGATGGTGAATTCTTGCACGACTCTTGGTCCTAACACTCCTAACGTGAGAATGAGGAGTGATAATTGGTTAGAATAGAATAGAATAGAATACCTTTATTCATCCAAGAAGATCATATAATTATGATATAGGACAAGTCTTTAGAGTTTTTAACAATTTTTATTATCACCTAAACTAATGACCATTCATCCATCCTCATATGTTCATACTTGCGCTCATCACCATTCACACAAATCATCTACCTATACTAAACAGAGTACTGAAGGTACTCTTCAACGGAATAAAAGGCATTCTCTAGCAATAATGATCTGATAGCAGACATAAACTTTTTCAAACTAGTTCCAGGTATCAATTCAAAGTTCGCTAATCACCTTTAATTCTCAACATAGGATTAAGTTGAGTCGTGCATGAATACACCAGTACACCAGCGTAAATATCACTACGTCTGTGACTGCGCCATTTTTCCTAAATAGCACTATTTGCTGACTATGAATAGTGTGATTAGTTGTCTCTACAAGTAGTGCCAGGTTACATAAAAGAATTAGGTCATGAGAGTATTTCTCAATTTAATAAATCAATTGATTGCTTTTTGTCAGTTCATTATTCTCAAGTTATTAAGTATAAAAAGTATGTACAGTTTGTGAAAATTCAAAACCACATTTCCAGTGATATCCATGTTACATCCGGAGTCCGGCACGGATCACATCTCTTCAATAATTTCATTAATGATATAGTTCTTGATTTTTTCTACTGTAAATACCTGCTATTCGCTGATGAAAATCTATATGCCGATCTCCTCCGACAAAGACCGTGGACCTTCAATCTGATTTGAACGCATTGATCAATTGGTTAAAAAGCAATGGAATGTCACTCTATATTGACAAGTGCTATTGTATCTCATTTTCTAGGTGCAATAATCCTATTCAATTCGACTATCATATTGAAAACAGCCTCGAACGGGTTTTTGAAATTCGCGATATAGGAGTCATATTTGATCATCGATTAAATTTTGCACATCATATTAACTCGATAGTCAGTAAATCATTTCAATTATTAGGTTTCATTTCTAGAAATCCTGAAAAAAAATCTGTCATGGCTTTCAGAACATTATACCTATCATTAGAATATTCCATATATGTAAATAGTTCCAAATAGATCTACGTGCAGTTAGATTAGGTAATGAATATTGCAATAGAGGTTTAGAGTCTACTGGAAAACCAGTGTAAAAAGATTAGTAGTATAAGTGTTCACCTATTACTGCAGTACTACTATTATTGTTCATTTCTAGTGTATATTTCGTATAATAGTATATATTTGTAAAGGGGAGAACCCGTGTAGAATAAAATGAAATAAAATAAAAAAATACAAAATCTCCTGAGGTCAAAACGAGCCGATTTAAAGCAACTCACCTCAGTCCGAAGTTTTTCGTTTCAGAGATACAGGTTGGTGAAGTTAAAGAATAAAAATAGAATTTCTCAGAATCCATGAACATTTTTGGAAGTATCACTTCAAAAATTGATATTTCACTGTGGCCACTATAGGGCGCTTACCAATGCACTTATTATGTTTTAGAATGGTCGTGGTCATGGTCTTTAATGTTCCATGCAGCTCCAGAATATTTAAATTATTTTGAATAAAAAATGTTTGCTGTTACCTTCTTGGATGTAATTTGGTCAGTGAATTAGCACTTCAAAAATGGATTCTCCAAAATACTTTCTTGAAGTGTACTTGTCGATTTTTATTTTTTATATTCGCCTTCCTGTATCTCAAAAATGGAGCAATTTCGGACTGAGTTAATTTGGTAGTTTCTACTGAGTAATTTAAAGAATTCAAGAATTCAAAGAAAAAGAAAACGAAAATTACCCCAAGCTTTTGCGGGTATGACTGTGCAAAGTCTATTAATTATTTGAAAATAGAATATCGATTAAAATATAGTTTTCTAACAGCTTCGATAGTATTTTACTGAGATGAAATGATGAAAAAAGTAGTTATTAGGTATATATCGGCTGATCATAGCTTTTTGTCTGAACTGGCATCATTGTCAAGTACATTGTTAATTTCATTAACACATGTCAGAGTGGGGGTATTACCAATCGAGAGTTTCGAGATATAATTTGTTCGGAAATGACTGGAAATATATATTAATTTTATATATTAATTTTACAGAGGCGTGTTGAGGTATTTGTGGAGTTGCTTAAATCAGGAAAAATTGATAATGTTTCTGTAGATGGCTCCAGAACCAATGATTTACTGAAACTATTGGATACTGTTGTTATAAAATTGGAAGGAGGAACAGAAGAAGATCTTGCATTGCTCGAACAAGAGTATGAAGGTGATTAAATTGCTTATATTTTCTGTAGTAAAATCACAAAAGAATGAGAGTGGTTGTTTTTCAATTTGCCAAACTCTCGTGGTATTCGATAGATTTTTTTTATATATAGTTTTATGCACTTTGACATTTATGTCGAATCAATAAGAACAAAACATATGCCTCAGATTATTATAGCGGCAATAATGTTGATAGATTATCCCCACTATAACAATATTTGATTGACTGAGACGTACATGAATTACTCAAATTATAAGTTTTCTTGGTCGAAACGTCAGAAATAATCTGTAAATTCTGAATAAATTCTGAATAATCATTATTCATTCATAAATTCTTCGTCCTATTGAATGAAACCTTATACGAAACTTATTCTTAATTCAGAAATGGAGAAAAAATACCAAGAACTTAAAGCCAAAGAAGTAGAAGCTGATAAGGCGAAAGAAAAGGAAATTGTGGCCAAAAAAGAAGATCAAGAAGAGAAACAAGACAGTCAGAAAAAAGATGATGAAGAAAACAAGCCAAATGGTAACGATAAAGATGAAGAAGGCGAAATAACTGGTGGAAGTGAAAAAAACGTCGGAATGGAAGAAGGGGAACATAATGATGATGAAGAAAAAGATGAGGATGAAAAACATGATGAACCGAAAGGGGATGAAGAAAAAGAAGAAGTTGATGAAAAGAAAGTGGAAGATGATAACAAGGAAAAAGAAGATAGTAGTGAAAAAGAAAAAAATGACGAAGAAGAAAAGGACAAAGACGAGAAAATGGATGCTGAAGACGAAGTTCAGAAGTCTGAAGAGCTTGTGGATAAACCAATAGGTATGAAAAATGAATTCCAAAGCTATCCAAAAGCATACTTATTTCATCATTTCAAATATTATGAACACTCAAATTATGCAATATGCAGTGTATTTTTCTCGGATTTCTTTGTTTTCCGCTCCTCATTATAAATATCATCTATTATGATTTGTATCTGAATGGTTGAAATCGTTTGTAACTTACCTGGATATTTGAAAGAGTGTTTCTTTTTCGATTGGGTTAATAAAACCGGATATAATATTGAAAAAAAAAATACACTGGTAAACTATTGTTGAAAAAAAATATCACACTGACTAGATTTTCTCCAAAGCAGAACACATAATATTGACAATCACTAACAGACAAAACAATAAACTCGCTGAAAGTACTTGAATGACCTACCATGTCAAACCTTCATCCTAACCCTATTGCTACTGAAATAATCTAATCTAAAAAAAAAAATTGTTCTTAAATTGTTCTATCCGTCATTCGATTGCCCCCTTACGAGCAAGCCTTCGAGAGTCTTGTGCGAGCAAGGAATGACGGGGGCCTTACCTTTTAACGTGTGATCCCAAACACTTTCTTGGGCCATCAGAAAAATTTCTGCACTCCTTGGGAATCGAACCCACGACCGGCAAGCGAATGCGGATTAGAATATTGACACTGTCCACACGGCTACCTGGCCCCTCCTGTATATTGTCTTGAGAATATAAATAACTATCTACCGAATCTTTCAACACTTGTTACAGAGAAAGAGAAGAAACGAAAACGATCATATTCAGGTAGTAGCAGCGGCTCATCGAGCAGTAGCAGCGATACGGAAGAGGAAAATGAAAATAAGGAAGAGAAACAGGAAACAGAAGCTGCAAGAAAAAGCCCTGTCGAGAAGAACAAAGAAGAAGTGGAAATACACTCGGTTGATGATGACAGCGTGAAACCTGAGAAGCCGAAATCCCTTCATAAGACAACTTCGATATTCTTGAGAAATCTTGCTCCTACCATTACGAGACAAGAAATAGAGGTCATCTGTGGCCGGTGAGTTTGATGAGAGCCATTTGTCTCCCAAACCTTGATAAATGCATCATAATTATTGAAACAAAATACAGTCATCCTCCACATAATTTTCTGATGATCTGTTAGAAATAAAGACACTTACCCAATATTCCTTAAGGTTTTAAAAAACAATAGCAATCTGTTTCATTTGAAAATGCAAAAAAAAATGGTGATCTTATAAAATGGTCTGTTTTATTCATTTTGATGTAAATATGTAGATTTATTGGCGGGAATATATGTCTAGCCTTCAAAGCCACTTACTGAAGAAGTGAAATGATGTATAACTTTTTTAAGCAAACTATACCTTGTGAATAACCTATAATTTCGAGACTGAGGGGTTCTGGCGAAAAATCTTGACTCGATTGTCTGTTTTGGCCAGCCAAGGTTCACCTGCTGTGCTAGGCAAGCTGACAATCAATATCTAGTGTTTCAACATTCCACTGACAAGAAGTGTTGATGAACCTAGGATCTCAAGAAAACGATTCTCTAGAGATTACTGATGCAAGTCATTAGTTGTACTCTAGGTTGTTTCTCTAATAATAATCAATTATTAGTATTTTTTTCTTTCAAATAAATGTGAATTAGATTCAATTCAAAATAATGAATGTATTGAATCAATATTATAACGGACGATAGGCAATTAAAATGAAAAAGTGTGTATAGTTGTTGCATACAAAACCATATCTAGTAAACTCAATGTGGTTTATGTTTAACTGGCAAGAGTTGTGTAACATAATAGGGTCGGAAGGTTCAATGTTTTATATTCTCCAATGACAAAAATATTTACTCAACTTGAATTACCGAATAATAAAATGAAATATTAGGGATGTACCGAAGCATACTTTCCGAAAAGCCGAATACGGAATATTGGACTACAACGATGAAGCTTCGACCGAAGCAAATGTATAACGAGAAACTTTATCATTATTAATATTTTTATATACTGAAACAGAACATAAATAAATCAATGTTAATTTTCCAAACACAAAAAACATAAAAAAGGTAGTTTTCTGAAATACGTCATATAACACTTCAATAGTGAAACAATCAACGCCCATATTCTAAGAACCAGTGAGATTTCTTCAATTTTCTAAAACCGACCAATCATCAGGCATTTGAAATGATAAAAAGCTTTTCCAATAACCGATAAATATGCACCTTGCTTTCAATGTATACTTCTATACTTTGGCAACAACTGTCACCGTCACTACCGTCAGATAATTTTTTAGCTTTCTCAACACAATGTTGTTTCTTCCTCAAACCAAATTGTCTTTACACTGTAGTTGTGTATTAATCTCCCTAGAATACATTCGAGAAATGTTTCTATTTTTATTGATAAATATGTTTCAAATTTTATTGTCATTTGGCAAAAAATCTCGTATCAAGGGAAGTAGAAGTCATATCTTGGGCAATTTTCTAGCAATTTTTTTACTCCCCTGATTCTAGATTGTTTGGCATGACAATTAAACTTTCATACAATTGAACATGTATTTATTGATAAAAATATTATCTCCTATGTATTCACCTCCGAAAATATAAATGTCTCAGTGTTCTTCTGAGAATATTCTTGCTGGTGCCGAAATGAATTTTTCTGACCATTTCACTAAAAATCAGTAGTAACTTCAAATTGTCATTCAACCATAATAAAGGATTTTCATTTCTTATCAGTATCGGAATCTTTTCATTTTTAATTCGTTAAGCTTTCCCATAGTGAATTATTTCATTTTGTTCTGATGTTCTCTGATAATTTCAATATTTTCTATGAGAGAAGATCTTCATCATAATCATCATCATCCACTGATTCGGCCAAAGAGTAACTCATCAATAAGCAGTTATCCCAACAATACTATTCCTACATTTTGAAATATTCAGCGCTCCAGCGGAAGCAGTCCGTTTCCGCCGGATACCGAATACCAAAGCTTCATCCCGATAAAATATATCCATTATCTGAAATTTGTGTTGCAGATATGATGGATTCTTGAGAGTAGCTCTTGCAGATCCTCAGCCTGAACGTAGATGGATGCGGCGTGGCTGGGTAACTTTCAAAAGAGATGCCAACATCAAAGAAATTTGTTGGAATTTGAACAATGTCAGGTTGAGAGATTGCGAGCTCGGTGCCATCGTCAACCGGTAAGAATAATGATGAAAAACTAAAAATAATTTATTCATATTTATTTCTCTCAAGTTATTATTGATAATACACCTAATGTGTCTGTTCATTTGTGTCCTTAGAGCAAGCCGATCAAATCTGATCAATTACGTCACAAAGCAGATTTTAGTATATTTTTTTATCATAACAACACACGCTCGAAATCATTGTGAATTTTTTCAAAAATCAAAATAAAAATTGACAGGGCATTCTAACAAGAATACCTTTTTCACGTTAAGGTGTTCAAAAAATCATATTCTGTTGGTAGAAATGAGTTAAATCTTGAAACAAAAAAAACTTGGGACATTTTGCAAACACATATTGATTGAAACATATGAACATTATTCTGGGTATATGTAACAATTATGAAATGAATATATATACTTGAAGTCATTTTGGAAGATACACTGTCTCAATCATCATTATTCACTAAATCATTGAATATAACTATATTTTAGAGATCTGAGCAGGCGCATCAGGCCCATTAACGGTATAACAGCACACAAACAAGTGGTCAGGTCAGATATCAGGATATCGGCAAGAACTGTTCTGCATCTTGACACTAAAGCGGGGCTATGGCTTGACCAGGAGGAAAAAAAAGAAAAACTCCAGCAAGTGAGTGTTCTAGAGCATAAGAAGATAAAAAAACTTGATTATTCTCACTAACAAGATGAACCATCCTTATGAACTACTGTTTGTTGAATAGCGAAGGGTAGAGATCAGTATTGCATCATGGCCGTAGTAAAATATTCTCATTTGAATGTTCCTGCTTCAGTAAGAAGGATATTCCCAAATATATCAGCAACTTGCTGATAAATGGGCTCGAGCAGATTCCGAGAGTATAGACAAATCGGCCATATTTCACTGAGTTTTGCTAGCGCCGCCTACGAACCAGCCAAGAACTAAGGCCAAATTTGGCTTCAACATTTTATATGGAGGTGGATCATCTTGTTAGTTTAAATCATTGACGTATAACAAAGATGGACTGGACGTCTTTTATTCTGTATTCACATAATCTTGCCAATTAGCTTTCAGCCGAGGGGAGAGAGGCTAGGTGATAGACTTTGATATTTTCCGTTCCGCCAGTGGCGTACCTTCCGTTGTATTGTATTGTATTATATTTTATTAAATCCTTACTATCCATACAATAGAATGGACGAGTCAACACAGGTAATAAAAAATACCAGAAGTCTAAATTATAAATAAAACAAAGCTATAAATAATACAATGGACGAGTCAGAACGGGTAATAAGAAATACTAGATCATAAATGGTATCCTAAACAATTATTATACAAATATAAATAAATAGCTGAAGTACTGCACTAATAGTTTTACATAATTGGACAGGAACCAATGATTAGTGACAGTTGATTACACAAGACAAATAATAACAAATGAATTACAATGAAAACTCAATGAACACTGGACAGAAAGTTATCAAATTCTTCCAAGTTGTAAAAGCAATTTTGTATTTTTTTATCGCTTGGAGCGCACGAAAGGGAATCCCTATAATGTTCAAAGAACATCGTGCGTTCCTATTAAAGTATGAAGCTCCAGCCCCAAAGGGAGATTTTTTATAAAAAGAGTGTTTTGATTTTATGACTGCCAAATAATTTTTATGTCTGGTGTTATGACTGTGGACATCACAATTCCTTGCCAGTTTATTTCGTAATCGATAAATATGGCACAATAATTTAAGCAAATAAATGGAGGTGACTGAGAATTTCATTTTCCTTGAATATATCGCGATACGAAGTTTGAATTGGAAGGTTGATTATAAAACGAATTATTCTTTTTTGTAAAACAAAAACTCTTTGGATGTCACGCCCTTGTCCCCAAACGATAATACTATAGGCAGGCATTTGCCTAATAGGCATATAAGAAATACACACTAAAAAGGGTACTCCTATCAAGCATAGATTTCAGAATCGTCAGAAGATGAAAACACTAATTGATTTTCTTACACACATTGTCTATTTGTGCTTCCCAAGAGAGGTTGATGTCAAATAGAGTTCCGAGAAATTTCGCTGTTTCAGATTTTTCCAGTATAGTATTATTTAGTGAAATTGAACAATTTGATGGTGTTCTTTGATTTGTTTGATATTCAATGCACACTGTTTTCCCAACATTCATCAGTTTATTATGATAGCACCCACCCTCAAATTGAATGAGTGTTTTGGAGACCTTTTCAGAAAGTGCAGTTGCCATTTTTCCAGTATAGTATTATTTAGTGAAATTGAACAATTTGATGGTGTTCTTTGATTTGTTTGATATTCAATGCACACTGTTTTCCCAACATTCATCAGTTTATTATGATAGCACCCACCCTCAAATTGAATGAGTGTTTTGGAGACCTTTTCAGAAAGTGCAGTTGCCGAGTTGTCCGATATTATTGTGCAGGTATCGTCTGCGTACATGAGAACCTTAGCTTCAGGTGAATGTTTGGAAGATTGATGATGAACATTAGGAAAATTAATGGACCAAGAACACCCTTGAGGAGTTCCAAGATCAATGTCAAACTCGTTTGATGAAACATCATCAATTTTGACTATCATCCTTCGGTGTTCTAGAAAAGAGTGAAACCAATCGTTAAGACAACCACGAATTCCGAAGAATATCTAATTTTTCTGACCCAAACGTTTTGTCGACTGAGTCAAATGCTTTTGTTAAGTCAAATAGTAGGGACACCACATATTCACCGCGATCCATTTTTTTTTATATTCGGAATTGAAAATTTTCTCGACTTTATATTTTTAATCACATAATTGCACAACTTTGCCGTAATTTAACTATCTTCGTATCTCCTATAGTTTCCGAGATCACAATGGTGGCCCTTAAATTTGAATTACCCGGTATAGGTATCGTAGTTATTTATTTGCTTCGAACATTCGAATAGGTACCTACCTAGAATATACTTCTTATTAATTAATACACTCTGCAATCATAATATACCGGATTCCCAGAAAATAGGGAAAATTATGGATTATTAAAAGTACAAATTACTAACATACACTTTATTCAAACATGCGAAAAATACACAATACTGATAATACCATAATTATCATTGCGTGGGTCGTAGGTTTAATTACATACCAGAAGAGAAAAACTGAAGAAATTGTGCCTTCATTTTGAACAGTGACAACCACAAACCTCGCTGTTCTTCCTTCACAGGGAATCTGTGAAACATGTTTCATCTGACTTTCACTTTTATAAGAAATAAAATGTGGTTTATGAGAACTAAATCAATAAATATATTTAACTAGCAATACGTAGGTACCTACCCTTCTTATGATAATTCTTAATTAACTTCAACTAATATTGATTTAACGGGAATTGTGAGTTTATCCTGCACTACGCCCATGTTGAAATTCCTATGTTATTACTTACAAATGACAAAAGAGTTCTGGGAATAAATAAGCAGTCTTTCCGCATGTAACACAATTAAGCAATATCAGGACACTTAAGGATTGACGATTGTTGGCAAAAATTCACTGATTACTTGAATAGCACAAATTTCAAGAGCAATAACACGACGTAAACAGAGGAAATATACATAAACACTTCTGCGACATCCATGTTCCTTTCCCAAACAGCGCTGTAATTGGTTGACGATGACGCTGCCAGTGATGCCAAACTCCTTGAAAAAATTAGGTTATCAGAGTTTCTCTCTATTATATCAATTAATAATAATTTTACAGCAGATTCTCGTATTGCGACGTGTATAACTGAAACAAAGTTTTTGATACCTGAGTAATGTATGGTTATTAATGAGTTATGCAATGACTTATTCAAGGTGTTTCGTGACTCGATGCCCATAGTTTAATGGCATATTCCTCGAACAATTTCAAGTCGAAAGTGCCCCATACATTTTTGTCCAAAACTCTATAGTTGAGGAGTAATGAGCAATATTAAATGTAACCGTATTGTGTGATGACACAAAGAGAATGTTGAATTAAGTAATGCAATATTTTATTAATTTAGAATGTTTTGATTACTTACACAAATTTGATTAAGATTTTGTTCAAAATGCCTCCTCCCCCTGCTGCTTCACAACACATTCTTGCTCGTCTAATTATTGAAAACGTTGCTCTCTGAAAAGTATCTGGGACGTCTCTTATGGATGCAGCTGTAGTCATGATATTTTGAATGAGCTCATCTCTGGTTGTGGTCTTTATTTGAATACAGTAGTTTTTTCATGGGTACCCGAAGATGATAGTGGTCAGGTGATCAAAGAACTGGACCACCTATTGAAATTACTGGTGAGCAAAATTGTTATTTAATAACTCAACACTTCTTATCTATTGAGTGTAAGACAACAGTGTATAAGGCACTCTCAACTTGAAATTGTTCAAGGAATGTATCCTCAAGCTATGGCCATCGAGTCACGGGACACCCTGTATATACCAAAAAACGAAAATTATCACGAAGTTTGACTCAGCAAGAATAGCATGGCGACATCAAATTAGCGATTTGAGGAAGACTGTTTCATTGTATGACTTCTCATTAAAATGTAAATAGCCCAGTCCATCAATGTTTATACGTCCATGGTGTAAATAATCAAGGATAATAATTATTAAAGTTTGGAAGAAGTCCATGGTAAATCGAAGTGGAGAGGTGTAGGTCATAGATAAAAACCCAAAGTTATCTCCACAACTTTAATTAAGAATGATCATGGAACACCCGTAAAGGTACATGTTTCGGGCTTATATAAGCCAATCATCAGCCGATAAGAAGTTTGGAGTTCTAGAAAAACCGATATAGACTTAGGATATAGATACAATGATAACTTACTTACTTACATGGATATGAATATAGTTTAGATTCAGATAAAGTCGACAATAACAGAGCAAACCAAGACAAATGCTCCATGATCTGGCCAGTCCTATCATATTGAAACTATCCCTGTTCCATACTTGCATCTTGGCTTAACCACTCGATTGAAGATATTACCATAATCAACAGTCTGAAACATTCTTCTGATTTGAATAATGAACTTAAAAATATAGTTATACCTCCTAATTCTGCGCTAGTTTCCTTTGATGTTGTTAATCGTTATTCTTTTTCTCAGTGTTCCACCTTGAAGATTGCATTAGATTAGTATGTACCTTCTTATTAGTGAAGGAGTGCCTGCTTTTCATGTACTCAATTTAGTTCCACTTGGATTTATTTTTTGAACAATTTTTTTTTAATTTAACAATAAATTTTACTCTCAGATTTTCGGATTAGCTATAGGTAGCAACTTGTCTCCATTATTATATGAAACATTTCCTCAGGATTTAGAAGATCCGAAATTATTTCGTTTCTTTGCCAAAATTAAATTCTGGTACAGGTATGTAGATGATTGGTTCTTCATTTTTGCTATATACAGGTAACCAAGATACTAACTCTGTAATATTCTTTTCTTCATGTCACCCAAATTCTCATAAATTTGCTACATTTTAAAGTTCCATAGGCTTTTGAATATTCCACTTTCTCGTGAAAATTTCAATGCTGAATTGAACGTCATCTGACAAGTAGCACATAACAATGGATTCCCTTTTCATCTTATTGTCAAAATTTTCAATAGTCATTTAAACAATTTTGCTAATCGTAGTTTACTCCCAATCAACAATCAAGGGACAGTTTGCTTCAATCCCATATTTAGGCAAAGTTTCTCAAGATATCAGCAATATTTTTCTGAGATTCTGTGATGATCTCGATATGACTTTCTACACTACAAATTCGATATCACTTATGTTCGTCAATAATAAGGATAAATTTACCCTTCTCCATAAACCAGGAGTATATGAATTATCTTGCAATTTTCAGTATATTGGCCAGAGTAATTTAGAAATATGGTGCTCATGAGCCTAGAACATCACAAAAATTTGTATTCATCTATCTCAAACAGCGAAGCCGTTATCTCACTTTCCCATTTCAATGACTCACCCTGTATAAAAAACACAACTTTTACTAACAGTAAGTTTTTTCCGGTGACTTCCATCTTTTTCGTAAAATGATTGTTTTCCAGATCATGGATCATTTGCCTTGGTTTGCTTTGTTATTGTCTACTTTATCTGAATTTTAACTTTATCATTTCCATGTAAGTAATCATTGAATGTATAGCCTAAGTCAATATCGTTTTTTGCTAGAACTCTGAACTATCGGCTGATGATGGGATTATATAAGCCCGAAACATGTATCTTTACTAGTGATCATCTAGTGATCTTTGATCATAATAAAAGTTGTTGAGGTGACCTTAGGTTTTTATTTATGAATTATTAAAGAATTTTGTGGAACTCTTAGACATTTGGATTGGTGTCCAACAACCCTGTCCTGCACAACATCACAGATTATTTGATTGAGGAAGCAAGTGCGGAAGAAGACGAGTTACTAGGTTTGGAACCGAGTGCCGAGTCTCAGCTGGCCACTTCTGTGGTGGAAAGAGACGAAATATTGACGGCCGTTTTGGATCGTATCATTTTGTACTTGAGAATAGTACATTCTGTGGACTACTATAATCATTGCGATTATCCGAATGAGGACGAGATGCCCAATAGGTGCGGCATTTTACACGCCAGAGGACCGCCTCCTTACTCCAAGGTAAGTTATCAAAAAAATAGATATGCAGGGTGTTTCAGATTTAAATTTATATAACTATGATACCTGTAGATAGAGGACACTTTGATGGTTCCAAATCAACCCCCCCCCCCCCCTCCCCATTGATGTGTCTATCATCATTCATGACTGAGATACAGGACATCATCTTGATTTTGCCAAAATATGAACCTCTTTGTATAATCTATTGATACTTGGTAGATATATTTCACTTATATTTGCCATGAAAACAAACTAGACATCTAGATAGGAATCTAGGTACGTCTTGTGGAAAAAAACAGACAACTTATTTTATTTCAAAAACAAAACTTGATGGCAGAATCTTGTAGATCTGTTGAAAACAATTTATAAAACGACCTAGTTATCACGAGTGCGCATTGAATTTGACAGATGTATTATTATTGTTTTTGAAATATTCAGCTTCATTTCCAGGCATTGTTATTAATACAATTGATACAAAAAACATTCTTCAAATTTCAACTTCATTGGAGTCAAATTAATTCCATCACAGCACCGATGAGTTTCCAGTTCATTCTCAAATGCAAATGCTGTTATGACAATAGGTTTATTTCCACCATGTCAAGATAATAGGGTGCTTTCACCATGACACATTATAGAATTAGGACTTTCACTATGTTATGACATGTGGATGGTATTTCACCCATATCGATTTATAAGAGGTTTGTTTGGCTTAATATATTGCAAGAGGTATTATTCAAACAGGTACTAATAGTTTAGGGGTAGCTGAAAAAATGAGATTATTCAAACATAACAATATTTATTATAACATGAAACATTATGGGTAGTGCTAAAAACTTCACAAACGATAAGATTTCTACAAAATAAGTTGCATTCTTTCTTTTCCACGATTAGCACAATGCCGTAGACGAAAATGTGGCAATCTCGAGTAAAAATTGGATACAATTAACTTGAAGAGAACTTCCTGTATGTAAGGTTATAACTAGAATATGCTTTTCCTAATAATCAAAATTCATCAGATTAACTTGATAATTTTTTTATCGCTTGGAGCGCACGAAAGGGAATCCCTATAATGTTCAAAGAACATCGTGCGTTCCTAGACACACCACAGAACTCAAAGACCTTGAAGGCCAATATTGTTCTATTCGAGTGTTCCCTAACGTGGCTCGCATGGCAAATGTGAGCATGCGAAGCAAAGACGCGACCATGCCAGGGGCGGATTCAGAATTATTTAATTACCAGATTTTTGTGGCTTTCTTGAAAGAGCAGAACATTGTGAAAAATTCATATGATATTTGTTATGATGAATTCCTTCATGTTATTAGGAGTAATCTTTCATTGTATTTTCCATCAACTGAAGTGTTTATTGTATAGAAATGAACGAGCTACAGGGTGTCAATTTGAAAACTTCCCACCCTCAATATCTCCCTCCAAGTCAATAATATGGAAAAACGAAAAGACAGGTCGATTTTATTTTCGAGGAGGACATGGTTCTAAAATATTTTCAGCCCCGCGGCGTTGCCGCTTCTAACGAAAAGAAGCAACAACTTTGTTATTTCAAATGGAACACCCTGTATTTTGTTGCATTTTTAGATTCTCACTGAAAAGCTGATTTCATCAATGTATCACACTTGGGGTCTAGCAGGAATGATTACAGAGATATAGGGTGTTCAAAATCGAGATTTTACAACTTTAGGATTTTTTTGAGTCGAAACTATTCATTATTGGTCAAAACGGCTTTTATGTCCCTATCGCAACTTTTGATTTACTATCTACTGACATTTATTTGAAACAAATACAGGGTGGTTCAAGATTCAGACTTTTGATCACCCTGTATTTGTTTCAAATAAATGTCAGTAGATAGTAAATCAAAAGTTGAGATAGGGATATAAAAGCCGTTTTGACCAATAATGAATAGTTTCGACTCAAAAAAATCCTAAAGTTGTAAAATCTCGATTTTGAACACCCTATATCTCTGTAATCATTCCTGCTAGACCCCAAGTGAGATACATTGATGAAATCAGATTTTCAGGGAGAATCTAAAAATGCAATAAAATACAGGGTGTTCCATTTGAAATAACAAAGTTGTTGCTTCTTTTCGTTAGAAGCGGCAACGCCGCGGGGCTGAAAATATTTTAGAACCATGTCCCCCTCGAAAATAAAATCGACCTGTCTTCTCGTTTTTCTATATTATCGACTTGGAGGGGGATATTAAGGGTGGGAAGTTTTCAAATTGACACCCTGTATACAGAATGGTTCAGGTTATATTAGCAATAATTCACCATGGTTCATCAAAATATAAAGCGACATAAATATTATAATTTTTTTGAAAAGCTCTTCTTGCTATGATTATCAGGACATAAAAACAAAATTTGGTGCAAATACTTATGAAGTATTTGAATTGAGATATTTTTCCAATTTCCTATTCAATTCAGAAAGAAAGACACACTTGTGGAATTTCGAATTGGAGCTTCGTTTAAGAGTTATTTGAATTTAAAAAAAAAGGAACCTCGCTAAAATGGGATAGTTCAGATGTTTTGAAAAACACAGGACTCAACTTATCAATAGTGGCATCTCGAATCTCGAACCAAGGCAATCATCCCAGCAACGTGGCAACCTTTGGTTAGCCTAAAATTTGATTCAATATTATTAATTCCAGAGATATGTAACTTCTTGCCAGATATTTTAGTTTTGGTAACTTATTCATGACAACAGGCATATGCTATAAATCATATGAGAGGGAAATTAGCATTTTCTCTTAGGTAATGCTCTTTTATTAGATAGAGCTGTCATGACTTGAAATTTGAAGTTTTCATTGGAGATGGGAATTTGTGAAATAATAGCACAACGAATGTCATTGTGATATCAGATACGGAAATAACATTGATGACATACAAGTTACCTTATTGATTTATCGAACAGTAAAACAAGAGCCATTGTGTGTTTAAGCTATAGAAAAAAAAATAAAAGCACAAATCTTGTTGACGATATACATATACCTGAATGAGGACATTCCTGGGATTTGTTCTTTATCTTGTCACCAAATTATTCATTTTGAAAATACTGTACACAAATCAGTCAATGAATGTCGAATCAAATAAGTACTGTTTGTCACTATGACTACACCCATTACCCATACTAAATTGGAATACCAAAACCCTTCAATCATCTCAAATTCACTAATGAAAAACGTTGAGTGCAAAGCAGACCACTGAAAAACTGAAACTAATCCGACTCTTATCTTGAGTCTACGTCAGACAAAATGACAGAGGCACATTCTCACACAGTTGCCAGATGAAATTTGAAGCTCATAATAATTCATGGATCTCTTGTTAGCCATTCAAATAATATCAGTGAGTCTATGAATGTTGTCGTGAAAATTTCATAATATGATTTTTGTAAAGCTGCTGATAATCAGTTACAAGAAGTTTTTTAGGAAATTTGAACTATATCCTAATGCATAAATATGAGATTTGCGTATGAGAATATATAACTGACAATGTTGCCGACAATGTGCGCATGATCACCATTGCCGCCAGCACACTGGTTGTATCAGATTTCAGCGATTTCTCACACTTGCATTAGCCTTCTAGGTCTCTGAGTTCTGTGATACACACTGACACAGTAATGTATTTCAAATAAACTTGATTTTGTTTCATCAGACCGAGATGACACAATTCATTGGTGCAGCTGTCGAGGCCAAGATGTCTGCATTCTTGCCTGACAAAAATAAAGAGGAGAAAGAGAAGAATGAAACCAAACTGGTCGACTTGGCTCTGAAAGATGTGGACACAGAAGTTGACAAGTTTGTGCAAGCAAATACAAGAGAATTGTCCAAGGATAAGTGGCTTTGTCCGTTGTCTGGAAAGAAGTTCAAGGGTAAAACCGTTTTTCTTTCTACAATTCCATTCAATTTAAGATTAAAACAAAAGATTATTCAAAGCACTTGAGTGATTGAAGCATAACTGACAAGTGGGTAATGAAATACAAATTTCACTAGTTATTTCCTTCCAGGGCCTGACTTTGTAAGAAAGCATATATTCAACAAGCATGCAGAAAAAATCGAAGAAGTGAAAAAAGAAGTAGAATTTTTCAACAACTACCTCAAGGATCCGAAAAGGCCAATGTTGGCGGAAGCCCCACAGCCAAGAAGAGAGGAGGCACCAAGCTATAGCCACTCGTAAGTTTTATTTGTGACCCAATAATATCAATTATTGAAATTATTATGTAATAGACATTTTTTCTAAAATTGTTCTTGGTACCTACATAATATTTTATGAATTGAAAAAAATCATGATTTATTGAAATATCTTCAAGCACTTTTTACGTAGAATTATGTTATTGATTTTATCGACAATCATAAATAGAAAAAAAAATTTTTTCAAATATAAAACCAAAATTTCAAAGTTGGGGTTGATACAAGCCACCTTTTTTTTAATTTGCGTTTCTTGAGGGTACCATACTTCAACCTCGGAACAATTTGCAAGATTAAAATAAAGAAGTCAGTGTGAGTCAAATGGACAATGTGGTGAAAATAGCTGTCATCATCAAATTGAGTATATTATGTATCCACCTTGTACAATTTTTCTAAAGAAATCAACTATCCCTGGGATATTTGATTATTTCCATACTTTTTACTATTTCCGTATATTTCTTGGGGAAAGAATCAGTTGAAGGATCAGGGATCAGGATTTCCAATCCGGGATCCCGAAATATTTTTCGTCCCAAAAATTCCGGGAATGAAAAATCGGAATCCCGAAAATCTCGATTTTTTACAAATGACTATTCCACTCTTGATCTCGAGAACCAATCAGAATCGACCATTTTCACGGTTTCTTCTGTATTCTAGCGATATTTTTTGTTTATTAAATTTTATCGGACTTGCCCTACCAATACAGAAGCCGAATTGACCCACACGTGAACAACAAACCTACTTTATTTTATTTACGCGTTCGTGAGACATTTTGTACGAAAGGCGAGACAATTTCATTCTGGCTGGACGTTTCATGTGTATTTTTTTTGCAATTGCATTACCTTGTTGGTCCCAGCACTGGGACCAAACGCCCCATAAGTCGAAACTTGTGCGGGGTTAGGTAAGCAGACAAACACAAACATCCATGGCCTAACTAGGATTCGAACCTATGTCTCGGTGGGAGTCCCCATACGAACTCAGCGCCTTCACGCTCTCGACCACTGAGCCACCAAAGATAATTTTTTGATATTTCAATTCGTGAATTTAAAAAAAATATGTTTTCCTAAAACTGTCATAAAAGCTGCACATTTTTAATATAAACTTCTCAACACATGAAACGTAAAATCGCATTTTTTCGATCAAATTTGAATCATCATAACTTTCGATTTCCTCAACCGATTTTCAATTATTTTTCAGTTTCTGAAAGCTTGTTTCATTGACTATCGAACCTATGGATATGACTATTTGATCTTTTCCGGATGAGATTCTACAGGATGATAATCAAAGCTGTGCATTTTTCCAAAAATATCAAACGCAACCCGTTTGAAATAATTTTTTTTTGTGGTCAAAAACATATTGGTTCATAAGTCTTCTCGATACTGTGAAAAATTTTTGAAATTGTTACACGCCTTACTGAAATATTAATGTTTTATCAAGATAATGCATAATTTGATGCTCTAATTTCTATTGGCTTTGTGTTCCTGTCAATCTTAATCGAACGGTGTTCAAAAATTTTGAAATGATGCATGATCAACCTATTCTTATAATCAGGGTGGTCTTCATACAACAATTATGACATCAAGTAGTAAAAAAAATCTTGTTTTGACGAGCAAGAAAATTTCGAAACAGGAAACCGATTGAGAATTTTTCTGGCGATCAAAGCGTGTAGCAGAAGTTGTCATCACCATGTCAAGTTACAGAATCTATTGCAAGATCAAACCACTGGAATTGTTAGAAAAACCGGATTTTCAGAGCGTGGTTCTTACTTTGTGATAGATTTTTAGAAGATAATTTCAAGGCAAATGAGATAGACTGAAGAAATATAAATATGATTACTTGATAATAATTTGACAGTTGTATTGACAAATATAATATGTATCATGTATTTTTTTTATATTTCAAAATTTGCATTAATGTCAAAGTCAGACAAGGTGTGTCGAAAATTCTAAATATTCAATTAATGTGGTGAAAGTACGAAAATAATGACTTAAATATGAGACCTCAAAATACCATAAACCGACGTACTTCCATATAACTCTTTGAGGCGATTTCAACATTGGAATTTTAGAATACAGCATAAAAGGTTGATTGAATATTCAAGATTTCATTATTGATCTCAAACCATTCCTGGACTATTGATAAAAAAAGCATCTTCAGGAGCGACCCTTCAAGAATCACATTCCGTTTCAGTTTTCTTCATATTTCTCCGAGCTATATATACAAGGTGTCCCAGAACAACAAACCAAAAATTCAACAGGGTGGACTAGAGACCAAACTAGGTCCATTGAAATCAACTTACCCATATACGAATATGCACCTTTGACAGATGCGAGGACAATGTAAGATTATTTCTTTTACAGATTTTATTGAATATTCCAAATTTCTTGGAAGATACTGCTCTAAAATTCGTAGGCCAATATTGTGAATGTGCATGAAAAACATGTCATACCAATTTAATCAGTATACAGGGAAATGGTTATTTCACATTCTCTTTGATGAAAATTGATTGGAGTACGTCACTGATCACATTTTGATATTTCAATGACCGATAACACTCTAGCTTTTTTCTAACTGCAGTTTTTCCATAATTCTTCTTGGTTTTCGAGATATCTAAGAACATTCATTTTGGTGCTACTCCATCATACTTGTTCATAATGTCAAGATTACCTATAGTAGGGAAGCCCAAGCGGGGATTTCGGGATTTACTCGAGCGCGGCAGATTATCATAAGGAAGGTATCCTTAGACCTTGTGAAGTACTCCCACCATACCTGGGCTCTTTATATGGTGTCAAAAGTTTAGGGTAGCCGATCAGGCTAGGAAAAAAAATTGATCGTTAGAAATACTCTAGCGCGTCAGATTAAGACATGTACGTTAATTACATGCGAAAAAGTGTGCATTTCAATAATCTGATGATTTGAGCGTGTTATAAGGAAATAGAAGAGTCACAAAGTTGCAACAAAAATCGTCACCTGTTCATTCCCGAGTGCGGTTAATTTTTTTCTAATTCTGAAGGCAATTAGTCACGGATCACGGAAATAACATGATCTGCCGATTTGCACAAGCCGAAGTAGCGAAAATCATCAATTAAGTGTGGTGCTTGCAGGCACTGGGAACTATGTATGTGATTGTAGTAACACAAGAAACTGAAGAAAAAGTATCACTTCGTATACATATTGTTACAAATGCTCGAATCATGTCAGCTCATAAGGAGGAATCTGAAAATGCAATAAAATACGAGGTGTGCTATAAGAAAAAGTATAAGTTTGATAGGCCACGGATTTTTGAGTAACCCTGTATAACGCAAAATATTACAGAAATGTACTGCTCATGAGACTAGACCATCTCAAGAATATTTGTTCATCTATCTCAAACAGCAAAGCCGTTATCTCACTCTACCACACGTTATTGGTCCACCCTGTATGTCTACATGAGCCTTCTATCTCAAAATTGTGAATTTTCCCAGCTGTTGAAGTCTTGCTTCAAAAAACTGCCCCCCCTGTATATTTTACATTTTAGTTATTACATTCAGTTAACAAAAAAAAACAACCGTCAGATTAAGGTAATTCCTCTACATAATTGTCAGAGTATTGGTCGATACGACTAGGACATCAAGATGAAGCGTCTGCATAATAATCTGACGCGCTCGAGTATTTCAAGGTCACGATTTTATTTTATTTTTTTATTTTTTTCTTCATTCAAAAATAATTGATCATGACTTGGTCGCGTCCAAATCGTCAGTCTCTTGAATAGTAGCAACTTGAGGGTTCACTTAACGTCCCTTCTCAATATCTCACGTGCTCGAATACATGCCTCCCCCACCATGCAAACCGGCAGATTAATATTTTTCGGTTATCAGGAACACGTGGGGCGCATACACTATTAATTTTTAATACATGATGCGCTCGAGTATTTCCATGTGACTGTTTTTTTTTTACATTTTTGAACACCAGGGAAAGGTCATTTATCATATAAACTGTTTTTCATTTCCGCATCTGATCTTCACAATCTGATACGTCCCCAAGATGCTCGAGTAAATTCCTATCTAGCCTCTTTGCCTCCACTACTACTATCATCTTTTACAAGTTTTGTCCTCATGTGAGTTGAGTTATTGACCACAATATTCATGTTAACCATTTCGCAAGCTCTTGATCATATGATGTGGGATCGAGAAAAATATTGAATTTGTAGATGGCCAATAACCTTATCATGTGCTGAAGTAGTTCACAAACATGATCAATAACCCAACTCAAATGAGGTAGAAACTTGCATCTTGTTCCTCAGAAATCTCTGCTATAATTTCTTCATTAGCAATACCAGTCAGACGAACTCGACAGGCCCAATCAGCACATCCCTCCGTCGTTAACCTCAAAAAATGTCGAATAGCACTCTATCAAAACTCGTTCGTCTATAGAACGGCGAAGCGTTGGAATTCTTCGAATTTAAAAAAAAAAATCCAACACCTACCTTCTCTCCCTATCCTCCCTAGGTACGCGCGGTGTTTCTCAAACATTATAGGAATCTCCTTTCGTTCACTCCAAGAGATGAAAAAAACATCATAAACAAGTATGGAGAAGCGCCAAAATGAATTATGTTAGATATTTTACAATTTTAGAACAATATTTTAAAAAACTGCAGTTACAAAAAAATTTGTTGATTGATTTTCCCATGAATTGAAATATCAAAATCTGGTGTGTGTCTGTCTTACTCCAGAAAAGTTACATAAATTACTATCATCAAAGATAATGCGAAAAACCTCTCTCTGTATATTCATTTATTTCTTATAACATATTTTTCATGCACAGTCACGATAGTAGTAAATTGCCCTACGAGTTTTAGAGCAGAACCTTTCAAGAATTTTGAAATATTCAAGAAAATCTGGAGAAAAAATTATGGTGCATTGTCAGTAAGATTTCAATCAACCTATTTTGGTCTCTTGTTAACCCTGTAGAAATTATGGTACGTTGTTCTGGGACATCATGTAGGTATGATATGTTCTTGAACTGTGCGCGTCGGTCATGGGACAACTGGCACAGGTTGATTATTTCGAATTCTATTTTAATATTTCAGTTTTGGGGGATATGCTGGTCCTGGATATGGAAGACCTGCTCCATATTACAATCAATCATTCCCTCAGAGGGCACGAGGGTACCAACCACGTTCAAGGTAAAATAGAATATTCAGTTCAAAAAACTGTACTTATCTAACTGGAAATGAATAGGGATCGACTGTTATAGAAATTTTAGCCGATACCGATAATCGGCCGAAAATAGCTTCCAGTCAGAAATAAAATTCTGGTATAATGAAGTTAATTACAAACAACGATAATAAAATAACATGAAGTGACAACAACAAAAAAATCTAAAAAATCTGAGAATTCTAAATCGAACAAATCATAAAATATCTATTTCATAATGAAATTATGTGTTTTTAATGCAATTTAGAATTCTGAAATATGTCTGCAATTTTTTATATCATGTGGTAAGTCATTGAATTCAGCTAGAGCAGCGTGGGTACATTTTTTTTTGGCCAAGTATAGAAGTAGCAGAATCAAGATGAAATAAGTTTGATTGTCTCGTGTGATGACTATGAATTTCTGAGTTTCTTATCAATACAGAATTGGATTTCAGATTTTTGTTTGTGATATATTAAACTTAAAATTGTTCTGTTATCGCATACAGATCATTTGTTGGGATATCAAATGAGAGGCGATACAATACTTTCAAAGATTTCTTATAAAGGGCAGATATTTTACTGAAATGATTTTTTTAACGAGATTCCCACACGTTCATTATATAGGTAGTAAAACTGGGTATAAGAGAATCAAGTACTATTCTCATGATTTTTTCTTCAAGTTTAGGACATCTTTGCAAAGCTCCAATGATTGGAGATATTTTTTGTATCAGAACCCCTATATTCTTGTCCCATTTAAATTTTTCATCGATCCAAATACCAAGATACTATATTTGTGTAGGTCTTTTCAATTCTTTATTTTTATTTTGGAGATCGAGACTAATATTCTGTTTATTTTTCTGATGGAATATTATATATTCAGTTTTATTGGTATTGAATGACAAACAAAGCGATTTTTCAAATTTGTTCAAATTTTCGCTAATTGTATTTACTAGGATGAGGGTGTTACCTTTACTTATTGGAAGTCTATTAGAATCTGACAATTTTTTTTTAAACAAATATGCCTTTTTGAGGTCAATGAAAATAGCTTCAACGTTATTTCCCGTATCAAGTCCTTCTTTAATTTTTTGTTTTGTATTACTTGTACTACTGCTCCTTGTGTGCCACTATTTTCTTGGAAACCAAACTGATTATTATCAAAACTTTACTTTTTGTTTACGAAATCTTCAATATAATATAATATGTATAGGGCTATCGGCCATCCATTTCTTTCCGCCGTGGTTCGTACTGTCTGGCTTGGAAATTTCTCAATATTCCTAGTCCAAACATAATCCAACCCTAATCTAACTTGTATTCGTCTGTTGTTGTTGTCTATTGTTTTGTCGGATCATGAATATTTTAATGTACGCTTCAATTCCGTTGTGGTTGAGGTAGAAAATAGAGTAGAGGCTGAAGTGTTTAATCGTTTGCAAGTATATTATAGTGTTTGTTCAGATTAAACTAAGCGGTGGAATTATTATTATCTTATATCGTCACAAAATGCCAAAAACAAGCCTATTTTCGTGAAAATTTTTGAAAAATATTAAAATAGAAAAGCAAAAGTGCAATCTGCGAAATCTACAAAAATCGGTTTCATCGGAAGGCAACGGGAGAACATATTTAAATGTGTCCGATATAAATATCGGTATCGGTCGATCCCTAGAAATGCTTCCATAAATAAATGTGACCAAATGTGACGTTGAAACGAATTTGGGATGAAAGTAACATTCTTTTAGCAACAAAGAAGAGGAATAAAACTGTTATTTATATAATAGATGTGTCAAATTCAAGAACTAGAATGATATTGGGAACATCAAGGATAATTTTATGAAAACATAGATCAAATATGAAATATAACTAGGAAAAGTAAATTAAGATGGCCATAATTTTATAATACATTGAATAACTCAATTCACTTCATCTAACAGCATATTAAAGGTTCATGGGTGCTTGAAAAAGGCTAGGGGGTGGTGGGTGAAAATTCAAAGAATGATGTGGATTTAATCACAAACATAAGCACATGAGGAAATATATGAAGGGCCCAATAGGATCTTCTTAAAACAATCCAGAAGTAAATCGAAAGTGTGAATAATGCAGTGCTTTTGTGCAGTATTAAATTAATTCATGTTTTGCCAAACTATCCATTTCTGAGGAATCTCCTGAAATGGGCTAATTTTTATTTTCAATTCTCCACATTTTTAACGGAAAATTGAATATACAGGGTGATCTACGTTTGAGCTATGACGACCATGACAATTTTTTCAAATGGAACACCCTATATATTATTGAATTTTTGGAATTCTCATGGAAGACTGGATGCAAAACTATATCACACTCAGTGTTTGTATACAGAGCGCCTGATAAATACAGTGCTATCATGAAATGGGGTTGTCATTGAAAAAATACCGATGACGTAATTTCTCCTACACGAATCATATAAACATATTATTGCAAACATGTTTCCTTCAATTTTTAACGAATTTATCGACTACTTCAAAACACTCAATTTAATAGACACACTGTATACAAACCCTGTATGTAATATATTTTCAAATTCAGCATTTAATGGAGATGAAAGGAATTCAATAATAATAGGGTGTTCTGTTTGAAAAAATTGTCGTGGAGGTCATAACTCAAACGTGGATCATCCTGAATATTTGATTTTTTCTCATAAATGTGGAAAATTGAAAATAAAAATATGATAAACTGGACAAAAATGAATTTATCGTCTACATTATAAGAGCACTCAAATCAACGGGCGCACTGTATGCAAACCCTATGTGTGATACATTTTTGAATTAAACTTTCCATGATGATTCCAAAAATCGAATAATATATAGGGTGTTCCATTTTAAAAAATTGTCGCGGTCGCCATAACTAAAACGTGGATCACCCTGAATTTTATTTTTTTCGTTATGAATGTGGCAAATTGGAAATAAAAATCGTCCAGTTTCAGGAGATTCCTCAGAAATGGATGGTTGGCTAAAAATGAATTCATTATGTACTTTATGAAAGCACTGTATAACGTGATACTTTCATGCTAGTGTGTTTGTGCTTTTTTTACTATTTACTTATAGAACAAACATGTCAAGATGTTTCTTTATCATCATGAAATTAAATTAGGTCAATAGAATGTCAATGTTGCTATGTTTATGATACACACACTGGCACAATTAGGGGAACGGGTAAAATTTACACTAAGTTTGACATCAATTTTCTCTCGAACCTATCACTCGATTCAAATTTGTTTTTCACGAATTGTAGCTTCATTCTACACGAATACATCTGAGGAATAACCACCTCCAAAGGATTCGTCTTCATATCATATACAGGGGTGTAAAGAATGTACGGATTTTTCGGTATTCTTTGAGACATCCTGTGGAGTGAACCACTGATAATTGAAAAGATTTTCCAACACCAAATTATAGCCCAATCTATCCCGAATATTTTCGTTTTTTATTCATCTTGATATCCCAATTATCCAAGAAAATATAGAGTTTCAAAGAAGAGGTGGATATTGGTATTAATTTTACCACCTCGAAACTCGAACTGGGGAGAACGTGTCGTTTTTCAACTTGTTTCTGTGAGGATTTTTACTTCAAGATGAGAATTGTTCACAGTTTTACCTATCATTTTACTGTTCAAAGACACATATACGAATACTCTCATGAATATGCAGGGGTGATGGAAGTTGGTCCAATGTTCTTTTGGTGAAATGCTATTTTTGTTAATCAACGTTGGCTCTTTTGTTAATGTCATTAATTATGGTCAAAGTCAAGCGATTCACCATTCATAAATTTGATTAATGAAAATTCAACGTGAGAGATTTGACTACTACTGATGTGGCGAGGGCTGTAGCATTAATAGAAAATGACCAGTGGTCCAATGTTCTTTTGACATATGAGAGCCGCATCTGCACCAATTCAATAGATGGCAGGGAAAGACTATATCGCCGAGGTGAACAAAATGAACAATTTGATTTTACTGTTTCTGTGTCCTATGGCAGAGGTTTAGTCATGGTTAGGTTAGGTTAGTCAAGAAAGGACACATTTTCAGATCCAATTTTAGTTTTGAAGTGTGAAATTGATACCAATATCCACCTTTCCTTTGAACCTCTGTATTTTCTCGAATAATTGAGATATCAAGATGAATAAAAAACGAAAATATTCGGAATAGATTGGGCTCCAATTTGGTGTTGAGAAATCGTTTCAATTATCAGTGGTTCAGTCCACAGGATGTCTAAAAAAATACCGAAAAATCCGTACTTTCTTTACAGCCCTGTATATGATGGAAAGACTCATCTTTTGAAGGTAATTATTTCTCAGATGTATTCGTGAAGAATGGAGCTACATTTCGTGAGGAAAAAAATTTGAATCGAGCGATCGGTTCGAAAGAAAATTGATGTCAAACTTAGTGTAAATTTTGCCCGTTCCCCTAATTGTGCCAGTGTGTGTATATTGATCAAAATGAGTAAGAAATTTGAAGAAAAATAATGTGCCGAAGTTGAACGCCGCAACGAGTTTTTACGGCCTTATCACAGAATGCTCTATAATTACGTGACATAATCCATTTTTGTGAATGAAACACTGTTTTCTTTGATGTTTTGGAAATTTCTGATTGATTTTTCACAAATTTTATGACCCCAGACAAGCAATATTGATCTATCCTGAAAATTTAATTAACAAGAAACTTTGTGATCTTCAAGTTGCTAAATGAAGCAGCCTGAAATAGAAAGAAGTCTTGCTCCCATCAGATGACTCTTGCTTCGTCGCCTGACTTTCTTGATCCCAACAGTAAATTTTCTTTTTTCTTATCTTGGCAGCAGGTATAAACTGTTTTTTTTTAGGGGGGCACCTGGTGGAGACTTTAGACCTGTTATTCACTACAGAGATCTTGACGCACCTAGAGAACCTGAAGAATTTATTTAATCTGTAGAAATACATTGATATTTATTTGGTGACAGTCTAGCATTTGTTTTTTATTTTGTGTGCTTGGTTTTCTGAATAAAGCATTTAGAATAACTTGCCTCCATCATATTTACTACATACAACACATACATGCATACATACATACATGCAACCATTTTTTTTTTCAAAACATATATTTTTCCTCCAAACGGCATAGAAACTGGCTGTATTATGAAACTTGACAGGCAGCGAAGATCTACTCTTTCTCTGCCTAGGCAGAAAAAGTTTGTTGCTATGCAATGTTTCAAGCAATTTGAATGAAATTGGAAATCAAAATTAAATACATGCAACCATTTTTTTTTTCAAAACATATATTTTTCCTCCAAACGGCATAGAAACTGGCTGTATTATGAAACTTGACAGGCAGCGAAGATCTACTCTTTCTCTGCCTAGGCAGAAAAAGTTTGTTGCTATGCAATGTTTCAAGCAATTTGAATGAAATTGGAAATCAAAATTAACACTGACATTGAGTGAACAGAAAATGATGAAAGTTCAGAAAAAAATTACACAAAATTAGTTTTATATAGCAAAGTAGATTGACTGCCTTGGCTGAATCCTGCCGCGGCAGTCATTCCACTACTTTGCTGCCTAGTAAAACAAATAACTATTTTTATTTTTTTCAATTCAATTCTGTACTTATAAATTGGGCTCTAGTCGACACCATGCATTTAACTTCCGAGCACTTGACCAGTCGGTAATTTGTTACAATGTTATTTTTGTCAAAGACGGAACCTGGATTCGCGAGCTGCGGCATATTAATGTAAAAATTTCCGATCTTGAAGATGGTCCAGTAGAAGTGCTTATGGCGCTGATGTGGTTGGGAAACTGTTCACTGGTACATATCATCAACTGAAAGGCGATTCCGTTGCAATGGAGACACTTCTGGGATGGACTCTGATGGGAAGAGTTCCAGTTCCCTATTCTGATAGTTTCACTTCCACTTCTATGATAGTGACTTCATTATTATACGAATCCTACGATATTTCCGATTTATGGAAACTTGTGGTATTCGTGATATCAGATCCAATTGAGAAGAATTCCTGAAGGGAAGCAGAAGAATCAGCTATGAAATATTTCCAGGAAACAGTATGAAAAGACTAGAGCTGAAATTGAAAGATTATGGATATTATGCAGAGTACAATAATGTTTTATCTGAATGGTTGGCTGATGGCGTAATAGAACATGTTCATAAGGATGGGATGTGTTATGAAGGCCACTATTTGCCACTTCGACACACGTTGTGAAGCTGAATAGCGACATGATGAAATTCCGAATTGATTATTTTGATGCATCAGCGAGAATCAAAAATCGCCCGTCTATAAATCAATGTTTAGAAAAAGGAATCAATCTGATCCCTTCTATTGAGGTTATATGAAATTGATGTGATTGGTGTCAAGAAGGCATTTCTCCAGATCAGTGTTTGTCCACCCGGTAGAGACTTCCTGCGTTTTCTGTGGTATGATGAAAATGGTCAGTTTATCACCTTGAAGGAGTGATCCAAAGTCATCTAACTAGGGCCCTGATGAAGCTCACTCAGAAAAGTCTCGTCACTCTGTACAGTCATTTCGAGATTGTCAAAAAGTTTTTACGTGGACAGTTATGTTATCAATCTTGACTCTGAATAGAAAATCTAAACATTCATGAAACAGTCACGAGATATTATGAATGAAAAAAAATTCGACTTAAGGTATGTTCATGCTTGTACGAATTCCGCAAAATTTATGCGAATCGCAAAATATGAAATTCTAAACAGAATTCGACGTTCTTACTCATGCGACAAAACTTGCAGGAAATAAGAGTTCTGTTGTCATATATAATTTATTTATTGCTGGCCCACCATTAATAGATAACCCATATACATTTTTGTGCATTTGAAAATGCTTCGAACACTACATCAGCCACTATTTTTTGCTTCTGGATACATCATTAGCTTTATTGAGATGATACAAATGATACATTGAAATTATTTCGTCTAAAGAATATTCATCCTGCAAAGAGAATTTAATCAAATGAAGAAATGATGAAAGTTATACCCGATTATAATTCTGTACTTATACCTCTGTAGTCTGATGGTGTATAGCCTCGTCTTTTTTCGGCCTCCGCTGTCCGCTCTCTAATTCCCCAATTTCAATGTTATCAAAATAACACATTTTATGCATACTGTGTGGTTATGATTCCATCCGAATTCGTAAAAATGTTTATATTTCAACTTCATTGCGATATTCGCAGTCGCCATTTTATTCGCATAAATTTCGAAGAATTCGTACAAGCATAACAATAACAGATGAAGGAGAACCCTGTGACACGTTCGTGTCACATCTTTATTTGGGGCTGAAATGGAATCGACTACAAGACACACTCGAGCTTTATTTCGAGTTGTTTCAAGATATTCCATTGGAAAAAATTACAAAGCGATTAATACTATCCATAGATAGCCAACAAGATCTATCATCCCTTCACTAGCAATACCAATCAGACGAACTAGACAAGCCCAGTCAGCACATCCTTTCGTTGTCAACCTCGAAAGATGTCGAACAGCACTTTATCAAGACTCATTCATCCATAGAACGGCTAGGCTCTGGAATTCATTGCCTGTGGAAGTATTCCCAACAACATATATAATCTCCAAAAGTTCAATAAAAATTCCAATACCTACCTCCAGTCCCTATCCTCCCTAGGAACGCACGATGTTCTTTGAACATTATAGGGATTCCCTTTCGTGCGCTCCAAGCGATCAAAAAAAAATTGGATTAGCTTGTCACGTATCATTAATTCCGAAAATCCTTCTGCAAAAAATATGGATTCTGAAAGTTGGTTGGGACGTTGAAGTGCCTGGTGATATCAAAGGTATACATATCTAGAATGCCCAAAAATTTTGAGTTGGTATTTTAGTTGATTCAAAGATTCCCAGACGTTTGTCGAATGTGTCAAAATTCGATTTTTGGAGTTTACACATGTTTTCGGATGCGAGTATAAAGATGCTTAAATGCAGCTACAGTCTTCCTGAGATCGGAGTCTGACAGAATAATACAGGAGTTTCACCCGTGTCGATACCACGATTGGAATTATTGGCTGCGACCATTGGAGCAAGGTTGATATTTTCTGTTTTGGAAGTACTCGATAGAAAAGATATTCCTATATTTTGTTGGGCCGACTCGAGCTCAGTTTTATTCTGGATCCGAAGAGAATATCAGTGGAAAACTTTTCTATGAACTAGAGTTCAAGAAATAAGGACTTACAAAGATCGATAATCGACATATTGTACCCGGACAAATTATATCCCGCAGATTTGCCTTCACGAGGAAGTTCTCCAAGACAATTAAAATTGTTGGAGTACAGATGGTGGGAGAAACCATTTTGGCTCACATAACTAAGAAGTGAGTGGCTTCTCCATCAGAATTATCAGGTGAAAGAAGATCATGGTATTGGCGAGAGGAGCAAATCTGTCGTCTCGTCCTTTTTGAATATTCAAGAAGATAATGCTTGGTATTATCGATATTTTTCAAAGTATAAAAAAATATTGAATCTAATTGGATGGCTAAAAAGATGTTGTCTCAATTGTAACAGTGTAATGAAAAACAAAAGCCCCAAGTTAACATTAGGGGAGATTCGAGAAGCTGAACAATATTTGATGAAATTTATTCAAAGGGATGCTTTTTCTGGAATTCATGATGTTATTTTTCGCTCCCTACAATCCTCTACAAGGATGCTGATGGTATTTTCAAACTGAAAACGCAGATTGTTGAACGAAAAGAATCTCAAAAATTTCCGACAACCCATCATCCTACTATCAAATCACCCTATTGTTGATAACTGAAGTTTTGGATTATACGAGGGAGAAAATTTATAAAATCCGTAATTTCCAAGTGTGTGATATGCCGTAGAAGCCAAGCAAAGAAATTTGATACATCTCTAGTTCCTTTGCCTGATAACCGAATCAGAGACGCGGCTGTTTTTGAGAAAATCGGAGTCGATTTGGCAGGACCGCTGTTTATATGAAATAACGAAAATGCGTGGATATTCATTTTCACTTGTGCAGTATATAGAGCGGTGCACTTGGAAGTAGTTTCAGGTTTGTCGACAGACAGTTTTCTACAAGGTTTCCGTAAATTCATTAGCAGAAGAGGGAAGCCATCTATATAGTGTATAGTGATGATGGTAGGAACTTTGTGGGAGCAGAGAATAATGCATTTGAAAAAATTGACTGGGACAAAATATCTTAGTATGGGACTGCAGCTTGGTGGGCACGGTTCATTCGACTACTGAAACAACTACTGAGGAAGACACTAAGAAGAGTATCTTTGACGTTATGAAGGGTTATCAAGAGTATTATGTGAATGTGAGGGAGTCATGAATTCTCGGCCCCTTACTTACGTGTCTGAAGACTTTCAAGATTCAGTTCCATTGTCGCCTTCCATATGTTTATACATCTTTAATTGCCTAATTGTTATTACGTTGGAATCATAATCTCCGACCCCGAAAATCTCAGGTACCAATTTTGAATAAAATTGGATCATATTAACAACTTTTTCGCCATATATCGGTTCCGCCATCTTAAATTTCTCAATTTTGATGATTTTTATTGATTATAATTTGCGACCCCAAAATCCCCCAGATACAAATTTTGAATGGAATCGGATCATAATTACAAAAAACTCGCCCGCCATATTGGATCTACAATCTTGGATTTCCAAATTTTGAAGGAATATGAATCATCATCTCCGAGTCCTAAAACCCCCAGATACCAATTCTGAATAGAATATCTGATCATAATTGAAAAACTGGTCTGTGATATTACATCAGTCATTTTGAATTCCACGAAGGAATTCTAATCTCCGATATCAAAAAACCCCCAGTTACCAATTTTGATAGATTCTGACCATGAATACAAAATTCGTCGGCCATATTGGATCCTCCATCTTGAATTTCAAAATTTAGACGATAGAATTATATAATTACCCCCAGATGCCATTTCTGAATAGAGTCGGACCATTATATATTACAGAACTCGTCCGCCATATTGGGTCCGACATCTTGAATTTCCAAATTTCCACAGAAAAATCATAATCTTCGACCCCAAAAACCCCCCGATACAAATTTTGAATGGAATCTGATAATAAAATAAAAAACTCGTCTGCCATATTGAATCTGCCATCTTGAATTTCCAAATTTTGACGAAATAATCATAATTTCCGACTCCGAAAACCCCCATGCAGATACCAATTTCGAATAGAATCGGCCCATAATTGGAAAACAGGTCTGCCATATTGGATCCGCGATTTTGGATTTCCTATTTTCGACAAATAAATCATAATCTTCGATTCGACCCCGAAAATCCCCGAGATACCGATTTTGAATATAATCGGACCATAAATGCAAAAAGACGTCCGCCATATTGGATCCGCCATTTTGAATTTCCTAATTTTGATGAAGAAATCATAATCTCCGACCTCGAAAACCCCCAGATACCAATTTTGAATGGAATCTGCCCATAATTACAAAACTCGTCCGCCATATTGGATCCGCCATCTTGAATTTCCAAAATTTGAAGAAAAAATCATAATCTCCGACCCCGAAAACCCCCAAATACCAATATTGAATGAAATCGGATAACAATACTCGTCCGCCATATTGGATCCGTCATTTTGAATTTTCGATTTAAAAAATAGATTGCGACCGATTCTCCTACCTACCGGGGCACAAAAAATTTCATACTAATCGGTCGAGCCGTTTCGGAGGAGTTCGACCACTAACACCGTGACCGGGACAGGGGAATTTCATATATTATATGGTATTGGTATGTATAGGCACTATGATTTTTGTTCATAAAAATATTCGAATTTACCGCCATCAGGTGCTATAACAATGCTTTAAGGCCCACATCGTTCGTTCCTGTTCCGAGTTCCGAGAGTGTTCGAGACGCTAGTAAATAAAAAGAGCACAAAGATGGGAAGAGAAGAGGAAATCTAAGAAAATTCAGACTATTCTAATTTGAATATTTGAAATTTGGAACTGATAATGAAATGTTAAATGTATATCATATCGATAGATCATATTTCATTAATATTAATCCTATTTCTATATTTAATGAATATTTATTTTTAACTTGGTAGAATGATTTCAGTGATTTTTTTTCAGACAGATCAACTGGATGTTTTTATCACTTGGACAAAATGATTGATATTCATGATTGTTGTATCAAATTGCAGGTGTAATAATAAAGGTAAATCAGTCATGAAAATATCAGTATCATGATCAAGAGATCAATTAGTGTGATATGATCTAGCCCAAGATCTAGCCACCATGGACAATTTCGTGATTCCACCTTTCTTGCAATTGTTTTGTTTCATGTGAAGAGTTGTGAAGCCATTATGGGTGAAATTGGTGAAATTATGAAAAAATAAATATCTGTACATTTATAATTTTATGAGTCATTCAAGTACATCAATATTATTAATCATGGCAAATGATTTGTTGAAACAGATTAATAAGATTAAATCAACAATATCTACAAATGATCAAATAGTATGGGCATGTCAAGCAGCTACTAAATGTAAGTACCAATATACCTACTGAAATGAAATATAACTACTATTCTATGTAAGACATTATGTTGGAATAGGTTATACTGATGAAATAAGTCACCTGAAAGATGAGGAGGAAAGATTGATGAAGGATATCTGTAAAATAGATGAGCAAATTAAGGAATCTAAACCATTGATTGGTATCCTGGAAAAGTGTTCTGAACTGTAAGTTGAAATGAAATATGATATCAAACTACTTACCTACCTATATAAAACTCTTTGGATGACAAGTCACTTATTAATATCAACTATTTTGCTAAAATCACAGCTTGGGAACCAATAACCTAGTTGAATTCAATGCTGCAAAAACTCAAGCCTGTATTTTCTCTAGGTAGGCTGTACTCACTATGCCTGATATAACAATGTGTAATACCAACATTCCCACCAAGTCAACTATATCTATGCTTGGTGTCTCCATCAGCAATACCTACTCTTCCATTGAGATAATCATGTCAGATCCATGGTGCTAGCTGCTTCATAAAAAGTCGGATTTTTATTCCCTGCAAAATGCTTCTTTAAACCTCAACAGCTCCTCATGATTTACAAAGCCCATATATGACCTGTTCTAGAATACTGTTCTGACATATGGGGTTCAGCTCCCAAATATATTCTGATGCTCTTCAATTCCATCTAGAGAATGCCATTCACCTGTTGGGTGATGCCACACTCACTAACACTTTGACATCATTGGAACATCACCGTAGAAAGATCGGCGACTTTTCACTTTTTTATAGATACTTCCACGGGAAATGTATTTCATATAAATCTCAGCTATAATTCCAGGACTAGCAATACCAGCCAGGCGAACTCCTCAGCGCAGTCAGCACATCCTTTTTTGTTGTAAATCTCAAAATATGTCCAACAGCACAATATCAAAACTCGTTTCCCTATGGAACGGGAAAGCTCGGGAATTCATTGCCTAAGGAAGTATTTCAAAGTACCTCTAGCTCACTTATTTTTGAACTGTTTTGAAAATTTGAAAGATAATCTAAAATGATTTTTCAGCATTTTTTTTCCGTTGCATCAGAAAATACAGGGTGCTCGAAACAAACGATCTACAGAGTACTAATTGCTTTTTTTAAATGGAACACCCTGTATTTTATTGTATTTTCAGATTCTTCCTGAAGAGCTGATTTCATCAATGTATCACACTTGGGGTTCAGCGGGAATGATTACAGAGATATAGGGTGTTCAAAATCGAGATTTTACAACTTTAGGATTTTTTGTGCCGAAACTATTCATTATTGGTCAAAACGGCTTCTATGTTCCCATCTCAGCTTTTGATTTACTATCTAGTGAAATTTAATTGGAATATTCACAGGGTGGTTCAAGATTCAGAATTCTGGTCACCCTGTATCTGTTCCAATTATTAAATGTCAGTAGATAGTAAATCGAAAGTTAAGATACGGACATGAAAACCGCGTGACCGATAATGAATAGTTTCATCACAAAAAAATCCTAAAGTTAAAAATCTCGATTTTGAACACCCTATATCTCAGTAATCAGTCCCGCTAGATCCCAAGTGTGATACATTGATCAAATCAACTCTTCAGGGATAATCTGAAAATACAATGAAAAATAGGGTGTTTCATTCAAAAAAATCAAATAGTACCCTGTAGATCGTTTGTTCCGAGCACCCTGTATATTCTGATCTAGCGGAAAAAAACTTTATCGAAAATCATTCAAGATGATATATCAAATTTTAAAATCGGTTCAAAAATAACTGAGCTAGAGGGGGGGGACATTTATGGTGAATCACCCTGTACATAATCCCCATGAGTTGAAAAAAATTCAAACTCCTTTCTCCTCTCCCTATACTCCCTAGGAACGCAAGATGTTCTATGAACATTATAGGGATTCCTTTTCATGCGCACCAAACGAAAAAAAAAAGTATACTGCCAGGTCAGAGGCCACAGTACTCAGAGTGACTATTCATATCATATAATGTATATGTTGTTTTCTCGGTTGTTTTCCGTTCCTCATTGTTAATAACAGTTCCATAGCTAACTGGACTTGCTTCAATACTAGTATCAGAGATAAGTTAATTCATCTCTGCCAGTACCATACCAGAGCAGTTGTGATTTGATCTTTTTGTCATGATTTCTAGAAGAAACTGTTTTGTTGAATTGCCTGAATTTTAGATATGTTGTAGAAAAAGTCCTTCTGAATGAAATATTCAATGACCTAACTCTTGCTATGACTGATTTTGGCACTAGAGGCCTTTTATGGCTACATCTTGATTTTTCCTTTTTTTCGTTCAAAAACACTTATCAATGTTGCTGTTAATAGGATAAATCACTGTAGGAGCCAGGAGAAATTCGTCACTATTGATAGCAGTTGAACAAAAAATGTTCAATGTGCCTGCTGTTAAGGGTGAAAGATAATTATAGTATTGAATAAATCAATAAAAAAATATTTCAACATGTGATGCATAAAAATTATTATAAAACACAATTTTTAAATGCATCCTCGCACCTTGATGTGTATGAAGAAAAATACGTTATCAATTTGTTCTATACAGGGTGTTTGTTTCACCGACCTATCCCATGAGTCATGGATCAAAAGAAGTGGGATGGTAGAGGGGGGGGGGCTTCTGAAATTGAACTAATCATATATTATGTGGTTATCAAATTGTTGATGGTTCAAAAGTTATGAAATTTTTCTGTAAAACAGGACCTATTTGAAAAAAAAAATTACAAATAGGCTGTTTTGAATAACCTCATATGTTGTACCATTTCTGAATCTCTATTAAATGGGCAACTTTTTCTTGTAGTTGGTTTTCTTTGTGGGGTAGTTTTTAAATCTGCCAGCGGCATCAAAAAATCAACTGAATAAAAAATATGTCATTCAACAACACCCAAGCAAAACAATATTTTTCTGCAACCGACACAAAAGTCGTCCATTTTGATACCAAAATTAGCTCTCAAATTGACGTTTCTATTACTGACACAAAAATAGGTATGTTGCTAGGCAACATATTTAGTTCCTAGGAGCTGAAGTTGAATTTTAGTTCCTAGGAGCTAAAGTTGAACTTTAGCTCCTAGGAACTAAAAAAGATCTACTGGACGTCATCAAGAATAAACAACATTGTGACGGTTGGTTATTTGGGTTGAGACGCATACCTGATTTGTTTCCGATTTCAGCAGATTTGGCATTTCATACCCATGCTAGAGATATAAATACACCTTATTATAGTTTAGTATTGAAATTATAAGCATCTCAGTTAAGTATTTTTGTTTTGATCAGGGAAGCCTTCAAGATTCAAATACTTGCTTGATCTGTATTTCATTCGTTATTCTCGCGATGGATAACTTGTTTTTGAATAATCACGGCAAGCAATAGTTTTTTTGTCTCAAACAACGATATTGTTTAGCTTCATTTGATTATCAAGTCAAACACAGTGTAGTATGGAGAGGAATAAATAATCACTATTATCATTGTTGATATGCTCACTAACCTAACATTTTCCACGTCTTGTTCCTATAGCTGGCACTGCCCAGTAAACATGAGACATTTATGGAATATTTCAAGATTACCTAAAATGTTAATATTTGAAACATTTTTCAGGATCATCCCAGAGATATTGCAAAATCACTGTAACATTCCTGAAATATTTCAAAACAACTATAATTGATATATTCCGAAACATTTCGAAATTACTTGTGAAGTGAATGAATGAAACATTCCAAGATAACTTTGATTGTGAATAATTGAAACATATCATTTACTACCTATTCAGGAATGTTTCAATGCGTTCGAAATATGTTTGAAACGTTTCAAGGTACCTCAAACTATTGATATTTTGAAACATTTCAAATATACTCTCATTGCGAATTACTTCAATGTTTCAAGACAACTTGAATGGCTTGATTGAGGAATATTTCAAAATCACCTGAATTTTAAATGATTGAAACATTTCAATATGTCTCTCATTCTGAATGATGGAAACATTTTTCAGGAACATCCCAGGGATATTGCAAAATCACTGTAATATTCCTGAAATATTCCAAAACAACTGTAATTGATATATTCCAAAACACTTCGAAATTACTTGAGAAGTGAATGAATGAAACATCTCAAAATAACTTTGATAGTGAATAATTGAAACATATCATTTACTACTTATCCAGGAATGTTTCAATGCGTTCGAAATATGTCTGAAACGTTTCAAGGTACCTCAAACTATTGAGATTTTGAAAATTTCAAATATACTCTCATTGCGAATGACTTCAATGTTTCAAGACAACTTGAATTGCTTGATTGAGGAACATTTCAAAATCACCTGAATTTGAAATGATTGGAACATTTCAATATGACTCTCATTCTGAATGATGGAAACATTTTTCAGGAACATTCCAGGGATATTGCAAAATCACTGTAATATTCCCGAAATATTCCAAAATAACTGTAATTGATATATTCCAAAACACTTCGAAATTACTTGAGAAATGAATGAATGAAACATTTCAAAATAACTTTGATAGTGAATAATTGAAACATTTCATTTACTACTTATCCAGGAATGTTTCAATGCGTTCGAAATATGTATGAAACGTTTCAAGGTACCTCAAACTATTGAGATTTTGAAACATTTCAAATATACTCTCATTGCGAATTACTTCAATGTTTCAAGACAACTTGAATGAATTGCTTGATTAAGGAACATTTCAAAATCTCCTGAATTTTAAATGATTGGAACATTTCGATATGACTCTCATTCTGAATGATGGAAACATTTTTCAGGAACATTCCAGGAATATTTCAAAATCTTTGTACCATTTCTGAAATATTTCAAGACAACTTCAACTGATATATTCCGAAACATTTCAAAATTTCTTGGATAATTAATAAATGAAACGTTTCAAAATTTCTTCAATTGTGAATAATTGAAACATATCATTTTCTACTTATTCAGAGGAATGTTCCAATGCGTTCGGAATATGTTTGGAACATCTCAAGGTTCATCAAACTATAGAAATTTTGAAACATTCCAAATATACTCTTATTGCGTATTACTGCAATATCAAAAGACAACTGAAATTGGTTGATTAAGGAACATTTCAAAATCACCTGAATTTCAAATGATTGGAACATTCGATATTACTCTCATTCTGAATAATGGAAACATTCATCAGGAACATTCCAGGGATATTTCAATATCATTGCAACATTCCTGAAACATTTCAAGACAACTTTAATTGATATATTCGGAAACATTCCAAAATTACTTGAATGATTAATTATGAAACGTTTCAAAATCACTTCAATTGAAACATGTTATCATTCAATACTGATTCAGGAATGTTCCAATGCGTTAGGAATATGTTTGAAAAATTCCAAGGCTACTCAAATTATTGACATTTTGACACATTTATTAGGAATTACTTACCTACTACAATATTCCAAGACATGCAACTTGAATTGGTTAATTTAAGAATATTTCAAAATAACCCGAATTTTAATAAATTAATTAGATTATTTCACAACTAATACATGGTCTATTTTGACCAAGCATTTTATCATATTATGATGCAATTCAGAATTTCCCCTCTACAGCCGCCGCTTCGTGGCTTCGGTAATCGATCGCGGGTTCCCGTCTTCGGCTCTAAGCGTTCGCGCACGCGCATTCAGTTTCCTTCTCCTTGGTGAAAGGCTTCGCAGTTCTCGCTTTCCGACTGTTGTCTCAAGCCAAGCAAAGCAAAAGACATCTAATATCTTATAATAGTGATAAAATATAATTATTTCACTCAAGTCAAACACATTTTCGAGTGTTTACTATTTAATCGTACCGGTAGACCTCTTAGGTGATTTAGGCCATGTGAAGTAACATCAAAACATGCAACCAAACAAACAACACAAACGACTCCATTTTTTTTATTATCCCCTGGTGTGGCTGGACTTTGAAATGTCTTCAACGGCTCCATGGACAAGGCCGAGGTACGTATAAATATGGAAAAACCATAATTTCAGATGAAATATCAAATATTATTAGATATCATGATGGGTATATTCATAATGATACTTTTTGTTCTAGGATGGAGTGTGAAAATTTCATCATGACTCAGAAGCTGCACAAGAATAGTGCTTTCAATTGCGATGTAACCGAAGAAAAATATTGAAGCACTCAACATGTGAATAACGATGTTAAATTACTTGATATATATGTACATACCTGATACGTCGTGATTATGAGAAATATCTGATGATACTTTAACTGCTTTTTTCATATATCATTATATAAGCAATATAATCCATTTTTTTATGTCTATTATCTTTTATTTTACCAGCAATATGAATATATTCCAGCGATATTGGTAGAGGTATTTTTCATTCTGAAACATTCAATGGAAATGTTTCATAAACAGTAATATTGTTGAATGAAAAACATTCATGAAATGTTTCATGAAACATTCCCGAAAGTTCTACAATTGATGTTCCCAGGATGTTTCTATATATATTTATTTGAAACATCATTTATGAAACATCTCTGGTGGCAAAAATTTATCGTTTCATGAATATTCATGGAATGTACCAAGAAACATTCCTAAAGATCTAATCATATTGGGAATGTTTCCAGAATGTTTCAAGCATTTGTATTCGAAACATCATTCATGAAACAGTTTTGAGGGCAAATATATGTGGTTTCACGAATATTTCTGAAACATTTCATGTAATATAACGAAAGAAATATTTATGAAATATTGCATGGAACATTCCCACAGGATATGATCATGGTAGAAATGTTTCCAAAATGTTTCAATTTGCGTATTCGACACATTATTTAGGAACATAACCATGAAACATTCCTGAGGGCGGACATCTCTAGTTTCTGGAATGTTTCTGGAACATGTAGGCAACTTTGAATGCAATGTTTCATGCATCAATACTACGTTTCTGAAACATTTCAGAAACAAAAAAATGTTTACTGGGTGGCGCGGTATTTGCCATTAGAGCACCTGGTCCATACACAAATATGTCACTCTGTGGTTGTATTTATATTGAAACTACAATTCGAACATCCTAGAAAACCTAACCTGCTGTTAATGCAGGTAGAATATTCTCACCACATGGATTATTTGTCAATATTTGTTGCAGTGCATACATATGGCACGGCATTGGTGGTTACTTCACATGTTTATTTGAGTTAATTGTTTCGGTTGCAGAAAAAATAGCATGTTTCATTCGGATCAAAAGTGACTTTGTTCGACTCGCAAATTTTGCGTTCGCTCGGCTTCGCTAAACGCTCCGCCTCGCAAATGCAAAATTCGCTTGTCAAACAAAGTGTCACTTTTGATCCTAATAAAACAATCTACTATTTTCTCAATTGATAGGAAGTAAAACACAGGCCATTATTTCTGGGGTATGGTACACATCCATGTGAATGAAATTTTGTGAAAGAAAAAATCACAAATGTGACATATTATCATCAACAATTGGATAACCACATATAAGGTTAGTTTGATTGAAAATGACTATACCACCCCACTTCTTTTGATAGGTTGAAATATTTTGAACGTATATACTATCATACAAAGTGTTACGCATTTGAAGAAATCATCCTTTTTCTAAATTAGGTCCCTATAAGTTATAATAACAGTTTTATCTGATTGTATCATTTTTTTCTATAAAGTAGAATGAGTATATTGCATCGATATTGAACACATAACTGGGATCTACATGCGATAAAAAAATTTAGTTACTTATTAGAATTCAAAAAATGATTTACTGTAACATCCGACCTCATCTTTATAAGGAAATAAGATGAAGTATGTGAATGAAATATTTGTTCAAATATCTTTGAATACATCCTTGGTATTGCCCTTTTGAATGACGTCATAAAAGACGCAGTCTTAATATAGCATAATTTTTCAACTAATAAAAAAATAATAGGTTCTTAAAAAAAACAATATTTGAACAAAAGGAAATATCAAAATTATATGCAGGTATTATAAACAAGTTCCTTCCTCCGATCCCAGACATGATAGTCGACGGGGGTCAGGTCTGGAGATCCAGCTGACCATAATATTGATCCATTTCGCCCTATCAATTATTCAGAAAAATAATTATGAATTGATTATAAACATTTGACAGTTATCCGGCAATGATGGGCAGTACATCCGTCGTTTCCATATATGATTTGTTTTCCTACATCTTACATCCAAAGGCACGTCATCCAAAATATCGAATGAATTATCTATAAAAAATTCTAGATAATTTTCACCATTTGAATTTTGTGGCACAAAATATGGACCTATAAAAAATATGCCCACTATAACTACCAACACGTTTAGATTGAATTTCCATTGAAAACGAAGTTTGTTTTTTCACATGGGGGGTTTCCTTCTGGCCGATAACGCAGGGTATAATAGTATGTTAAAGTATAAGTGAATATTTAGGTCTTTGAAGCACGCACGATTTTTCGAACACGACGGCGTAGCCGGAATATGCCGGAATGAAGTGAAATGGTTGCATTTCTTCAGAGTGAAGAACTGACCATACCTTCCACATGTAGAGATTCAGCTTCAAAATTAACAAGAATGTGCTCTAGGGTGATTTTGTGTCATATTCGTTCTAGGATTTTTGACTTGTAAATTACTACTATTACTAGTATATGTCTTGAGCGCTTCCTCTTGTTCACCTTATAAATCTTATTGATATCCAGTATTCAGTAAATAATTACCTACATACTAATCTTATTAGATAAATCTAGAGCATGCAGCTACATGTAGGGTTTGTATGTTGCATTTTTATATGATATTCATTTCTATTAAAATTGAAAACTCAAAACAAATATTCAAAAACTCATCTCTGACCAAGTGATCAAACTACATTCTGGTGGTGGAATATTTGTATTGGTTTAATAAGGGAATGGTCATTCGAAAAGCCCTCTAATGTTGTTTTGATAATCGTATGGTAATTCGAAAAGCCCTCTAATGTTGAATGTATACTACTCTTTATTTCATGCAGGCAGAACGATACTTTGAAAATAAGTCTTGAATCATTGGTCACTCATCGTTTATATCAAAAATGTGTTGAAGAAAATATCAATAAACACAAAAAAGAATGTGACCTTTTAATAGGAGAATATTCTGAACACATAGAGCAATGCAAAACGAAGCTAGAACATACCAACCCATTGTTCAAAATTCTTCAAGAAAAGAGAACTGAACTGAAGAAGAGCAAAATTCAGTGTCTAGACCTTCAGCAAAGGTTAAAGAGACGTAAAGTAATCAATGAACAAAAATTGAGAATTCAAAAACAACTGTTTTATGCTGATATTGTTTCATTTGCTGAAGCTTGGTTAGATCAGAAGAAATATTTGGATGCTATCAAGGAATATGAAGTGGTGAAACACCAGGAAAGAGAACTGATGATCAAGTTGATGGAATTAACTGAAGAGTTGAGAGTAAAAGATAAAATGGCCTATGTCACGAAAGATACTAGTACTTTTATTCCACAAATTCAGGTATGACAGCTCAAGATTACATAATTATTGTACTCTTTGGTCATTTCTATATCCAACACCAAAACCTCATACATACCTATATGAATTTCAGAATCCAAATAAGGTTCACATTTGAGAGTGCAGATATGAAATTTGTTGAATATATTATTACATTCAGAGATAATGAAAGATAAAAGTTCAGCACAGAAAAACATAGGTGCGCGATGTTCATTGTGTCCAGAGGCAGATCGAAAGAACGAATCTGGACCGACGATTGAATCTTAAGCGGCCTTCCAGATTTTCCGTGCGCAACACAGTGCAAAAAAGCAGTTTCTTTTTGATTTTTATACAGTCCTATAAAAAAAATCATAAGCTGTATGTACGCTAATTTCATCCAATTCTACATGATACAGGACAAACTCAATCGATATGTTGCTTATTCGTTGATTTCATTTTTTAATGCGTGAAATTATTGCAATTTGGCCACAGCTGGAAAGTTGATTATACAGGGTGTTTTGGTTCACCGACGTATTTCTGAAAGGGGGTGATAGGTAAGAACATTTCGAACATATTTGAACATATATACCATATATACAAAGTGCTGCGAATTTCGAGATATCATCGTTTTGTCAAACATTTTATCTTGATGTATATTTCTTTCTTGAAGAGTTGAATACGCATTTCATTTACATCCAACACGTTATGGAATCCTAATGTGATAAATAAATGATTTTTGGCTCGTTAGAATTCGAAAAACGATTTTTTGTAACATCTAATTTCAAATTTATAAGTGATGATTTCTCGATAACTAACACTTTATTTATGATACATATTGTATATGGTTTAATATGTTCAAAATCACATCATCTACCACCTCTTTCCAGATATACGTGAATAACAAGATTCTCTTTAAAAATACTCAAAATTGTGACAAATCACAGGAAAGTTTCGCAAAAATGAAGTCTTATCTGGTTTCATAGCGCTTTCATTGCATTTGATTTTATCATAGCCTACTTTGAAACTAAATTTAAACAGACGCATTCGAAATTGTAAATCGAAAAAACCCGGAATACAGTTATTTGGAACAACACCTACAAGATATCTACACTTTTCATTCGTGGAAATTATGAGAAAATTGTTATTTTCAATAAAAACAAATAGGTACATTAAGGCGAACAAATGTTGCACTCGTTTCTCGATACCACATAAGAACCTCTTGTTGCGCTCAAAGCTTCATGAACAATATATTCTGGTAACTTATAAGCTAACTCGCTACATTGGGAATTTGTTTAGCACAAAATTGGGGATCGTCTCGTCTGACCCAATTTCGATTCGCCCTATTTTCGATTCTCCCAATTTTCGCTTCACCCGATTCTCGATTGCCCCAATTTTCGATCCACCCAATGTGTGATTCGGTCGAGTTAGGTAGGTTAGGTTACGTAGTAAGGAAAAGGTAGTCGCCTACCTTATGCAGAAATGAATATTTTCCTTATATTACGTAAAAATTCAGATCGATCGAAATTTGGGTGAATCGAAATTTGGGTAAATCGAAAATTAGGCGAATCGAAAATTGGGCGAATCGAAAATTGGGCGAATCGAAAATTGGGTGAATCGTAAATTGGGTAAATCGAAAATTGGGTGAATTGAAAATTGGGTAAATCGAAAATTAGGCGAATCGAAAATTGGGTGAATTGAAAATTGGACAAATTGGAACATGTACCATACATACATATTATGTGTATAAAAATTTTGAAATATTCAATAATGATGATAAGCCCAGAATGATTGTTCATTCAGATTTGGCTACAACGCATCGTTCGGGTATATTCGGAGATGGTGGGCGAATCGAAAATTGGGCGAATTGAAAATTGGGTGAATTGAATATTGGGCCGAACGCAACCTACCCCAAAATTAAGCTCACTTCGCTTCGCTTTTGTTTTATTGGAAATGTGAGGAGACTCTGAAGTTGCAGGCGTTAATAGAAAATTGAACACAAACTTACTGGTGACAATAAATTTGTGGATTTGGTTTCCACACATTGTGGTTCGAATATCAATCACTAGAGCTCGTTAAGAATTTTAACATGAATCATTCACCGAATTTGGTGTAACAAATTCAACGGTCTCGCAAACTGAACACTTGAAGACCTTATGTCCCTACCTTACTCGTAAAATCACATGTGAAGCGTTGGTCGAATTTCCCAACGCCCTGTACGTGAACTCTAAATCAGTTCGGGTTGGTGTGCATTATAGAAGTGACCACTCCTTATAACAGGTGGCGAGAAAGTAATCACCTATCCTATTGGAAGCTGCTCTGATTTTTGCAAATTCAGTCATCTGCCATCTTGACCTTGAAAGTTGTGCTGATGATAACAAGACATGAAGCATTATACTCCCCAAGTACGCGGATATATTGGATGGATAATATGCACGCAATGTTTCCCGATCGCTTATAATTTCTTGTTTTGGTGATCGCCCGATTATACTGCTACAGATTTCTTTCTGTTAGGTTATTCGAAGTCTCACGTTTATGTGCCCCGATAAAAGGAAAACAAGAAGAAATGGCAAATATAAAAAAAATGATGGTGTCCACTGCATTTGGATGAGATCTTCGGTTTAACGATCTCTAACGGTCTAGATAGTATAGGTTATGGTAGATTGAACAGGAAACAATTTAAAGGTCCAAATACACGTTATTCACAAACAGATTTTTTTTATTTACAAAAAAGTCATAGTTCCAGGAACTCGGGTGATTACTTTAGCGCCACCTTGTTAAAACAGATGATTTATTCAATGTATCTTTTATTTCAAGTTCTCAAAAAATTCCATTGATGATGGATCAATAAACAACAACAAAAATACTGCAAATACTGCTAACTACGAAAAACCGTCAGTGAATCCTTTGAAAGATCTTGAAGTTCTTTTGAAAGAAAATAACTTCGGCCAATCAGGACCCATAAAAAAAGTAGGAACAACTACTGGATATTCCAACAAAAACAATCACTTGACTGATAACAGTTATATACCAACTAAAGTTAGAATTTTGGAAAATAAAACTTTGAAGCCCCCTCATCCTCACCAGCCAGTTATAGCACTAAGCAAGGAAGAACGAAGCAAAGCAATTGATGCCAAACTACAAAGGGTCATGCAAAATTTCAGTAGATCTATGTCTCGCCAGAATTCTCAGAGAATATCAAAAAGTTATCAAATTCCAAACGGTAATTTGAAGGGAATTAACGACGTAACATCACCCGAGGAGGCGGACAAAGAACCAATTGAAGAAATGAACAAGAGCCAAACAGGAGCCACTGAGGGTTTGGAGAATATGAACATACTTAGTCAGGAAACAAGAATGGCCATGGTTCTTTTGTCTCAAGATTCTGTTAAAGGCAGCTCGGCAGAAGCAAATTTGAAAAAATTCAAATATCCCACAGACAATTATTCAAAGGAAGCCAATAAGAAGGTTGAAAACACTAATTCTGATTGTGAAAATGGAATACTTCAAAAAATGGATGTTGATGATAGACAACAAAAACATGGAATACTGAACACTAATTTGTTCAAAATGAACGATGGAAATGCATTTGGAAAGAATGGCCAATTTTCTATGAATTTAGGTAGAACTACAATTCGGATGAGTTATTATCGATGAATATCATATTTATTATTTTCAGGTGGAAGTAATCCTGGAAACATTTTCAAAAACGATATAAATAATACATTACCAGAATCAAATGTATTTCCTATGCATACATCAGGTATCTATGTCTCTCAAACATTCAGAAACTTGCACCTTGAGTGTTGAAATAAACATTTCATCACCAGTTATGTGATATTTTACTTTACACAATTGGTTACGTAAAGTAAGACGTTTCAACACTGTCTCAAGTGCCAAATTACATGTCTAAATTAGAAAAATACATTATATTATTTAAATATTTAAATTACGTAATCTACTATAATTGATTTTTGTGTTACTAGGTACAAATGGAATTTTTCAACCCATGCGCAATACTTCGAGTTTCTCACAACCCTTCAAGATGAATGATAACAAAGAGAATAATCCAAATAAGAATGTTTTCAAAGTGCCAGAAGCTGCCTCAGCCAATAATTTACCAAGTCAGCCCAATCAAAATACTACAATCAATTCAAGTAATTTTTCCAATTTCATCTCCACTATTTAGTAATAAATCAACTCTTTCCAATAGGTGACTCAAGTGTCTCTACAAACTTGAAAGATTCCCAAAATCTTCCTTTACATGAAGAAACTAATTTCTTTAGTATGCATGGGGCTCATTATAATTTTGGTAATACTATGACTCAAATAACAGAAAATCCAAACGATAGTAAGTACTAACAATAAAAAAACTAACTGAAATGTATCACAAAAAAGCAAACATTAAGGATTGATTCAAATCAATGGTTTGGTTTTGAATTCGGATTTTGTTTTAGGTTATGAAATGGCCTGGAGTCCACCAGCTACAGATTTCTCTAATAAATCTTTTATGGATACTAACCCCTTGTTGCCTTTCGGACAATCTAATACTACTTTTGGTTTTTCGTTTTTCAAATAATTTTTGCTTTTCATTCTGACGTTCTCGCATTATGCATTTATTTTTTTATAATAATAGTTGAAACACTCAAATTATCGATATGTTTTAAAGACTGTTAAGTTTCAAGTTATTCACGCGTTATTCAAAGATGTTCAAGAAATAATTAAAAAAAGTATAACCCTAATAACATATTTGTATTTGATTTCATCTAAGTCAACTGAAATATCGTGAAAAAATCAAGAAACTGTCTTCTTCAACTGCATGATTTTTTGTTTTGTCAAATGGGAGTATTGACATTGAAACGGAGGAACCCATTTAAATATTGGCAATCATTATCTTATGAAGTGATGATGTTAATTGGACATCTTGAAATGGTTTTGTTCTTTCAGAGAAAATTTTGACTACTCACTACCAGTTCCTACTTCTGGTTGAAAAAAATTGATTCTACGGTAAATTATCTGTCTAATAGTTTTAGAGATACGGTGTCATATTGATCGTTATTTTTTTATTTTAGAAAATAATATAACTTTTCAACTTCCATTCGAGGCTATTTTTTGTTGATATTGGATTTCATATATCTATCTGTCTTTATATATATCTTATCAAGTTATACAAATAACTATATGTACCCATTTTTCATTTCCTTCGAAGTAATATTCTCATTTTCAATGTTCAGAAGAATACCCAACATAAATAATTATAAGCGCTGGATGATTCTACCTCGTATTTTGATTATTTTAGTGACACTATATTGTGATATAAAAGTGAATATTTTTAATATGTATTTACATGAGAAACGTACATGGATTACTATTTTAAATTTTAATATGTATTGGATTAGAAACTTCATCTTCTGAACTGTTTCTTGAATTTTTCATAATGGTAGTCATCTGTAGCTTTTTCATCTTTCTTCTTTGATTTTGTTGCATTCTCCGTTTTTGGCTTCTTCTTAGGTATATCTGATTGATCAATATTAACTAAAATAACAAAGTATCCATTAAAAATTGATCAAGTAAAAGAACTCTCGGAGTTCCACATTTTTTTATGAATTTGTACAAATACAATTGGGACTGCCTAATCGAACTTCAAGACATATTTTGACCATTAAATCGACTCAAATGGTCATCATCAGTCTAAATGATATGGAGCGAATGAACAATGAAGAAAACTTCATTTGCAAGGGTGCGTTTTTAAATATAGATTTTTCATCTTTCATAGCTTTCCTCTCTCCTAGAGACTACCCTTTCAAGAATTTCAATTAGGATCATGGGTCAGATGATGTCTCATTTAAAGAGTATGGCCACCTGATAATAATTATGTAGTTTTTGCATATAACTTCATTTGTTACTGAAATATTATGAATGGCCCACCCAAGTTATTATTATTATTATAATGATTCTTTAATTTAACAAATCTCGAATGGATAAATGATCTTCAAGATGGATGAATGGGAATATTGGTTGAGTGATAACTGACAAGTGTAATACTTGCACATAGCCTCCATTTATATTTCTTGTTTCGATATAGTTCAGACGATTTGTTCAAATTTTCATGGTATCTTTCGTCGGTTACGTGACTAATGTGGTCATGAAAAAATACTTGTCCAAATGCAATATTCTTCCTCGTATTCTTCAAACTCCTAATTCAGTTTAGACTTGGAAGCATTCCTGAGACTTTACCTATCAATATTTTGAAAGTCGAATAAGGTTTAATTCGACCCACCCCATTTAGAATTTTTGAAAAGGTGATTCTCTAGGGGAGGGGAAGCCATGACAAATCATTTTGAAAAACTTCTTACAAATGAAATTTTACGTATTCCAATTCTTTTTTATGCGACCATCAGTTCAAAAATTATTTTGGGTGAATCATCTGGTGCATAGGTGAACTACTATTGGGTACATATAAAATACCGGGTGTAATAGGATCAATTATGACAGTATTGAACTTCGGATGGAAAGAGATTCTTATTATTCAAATTAAAGCCGAGTTGTATTAATTCCCCAGCTACAGCGTCGTAATGCAGGCAAACGTTATTAAAATATGCCCTCTTTCCTTGCAAACAATCCAGTAGTCGATTTCATCATCGTTCCCTTTGTTTTCAGGTTGCATCCGAATCTGGAATTATACAACCAAATTTCCTGGTGCATTTTGAGATATTCGCAAAGAAATTCTTGTTTAAAGAAGATTAAATTTGCCACAATTTGTGCTGCAGCAACATAGGTCCAAAAGTTTCTGAGATATTGCACTTCAAATATGAAAATGAAAATTCAAGTTCTGAGTCACCTTTTGAGCTAAATATTGTAGAAAATACTGATCCTACGAGGAAAATTGACAGCAGTAAAGTTGTAGCAAATCTTTTTAGCTTCAATTCACATTGGGAGCGATGCGAGTAAGTTGAATGGTTGACTCATAATTTGCAAGAAACGAAAAAAAAATTGGTAAGATTCCATCTGAACCCTCTTCATGGCTTCTTTCATGAATACATTTCACCTGTGATTTATATGTAAGATAATGCTCATAGTTAGAAAAAATCAATGGTTACTGACATGAATATGCGCAATTTTTTTTTCAAAAAGCTCTGGTTTCGATGCCCTTTGGTAACGAAGGGTCCTGCATTCCAGAAGGCTGTGAATGCGGTCCCACCAATGGAATTTCTACAAAAAAGTGCCAAGTAAAGTGTGAGATGCTCGAATTTGAATGGTTGATTGCAGGTGCAAGGTGGTACATAGAGAATCGAATTTAACTTGAACTGGTGGCTGATGTTTGTCATCTAGATCTTCTTCCTCTTCGAGATAATAATGATGAACATGACTGCAGGATGCTTCGCATGGTTCATACATATTAGAGTACTACAGCCCAGCCTTCTTTCACTCGCACATCGCCGTTGCGCACCTTTTTTTGCACTGGCATGCAATCAGTTGGAGTAGCTTGTCAGGTGCTGTAGGCCTCTGCTTGTTACGCTCCACCCAAACTTTTTCGGCTGGTGTACTGCAGCTGAGCTTGGAGGTAGTTGCCATATTTGAAGAGGATTTATAAGCTGAGAATTTGTACTGCAGGTCATCTATGGGCACTTGCTTGTTTCCACCGTACAAAGCAGCTATACAGCGTGTCTCATTTCAAACGGTCCTTCCTCTATATCTCAGCTATCAGTCGTGCGATCTTTACCAAATTTGTTTTATTTGCGTTTTTATTGAAATGAATAGGGGCCAGTTTTATATTAAATCATATTAGGCATTTTTGCACAGAAACACTGACCTCATAATATTGTTTTTCATGGTTTCAAACCAACATATGTGGGTTTTCATAAGATGCCTATGAAGGGTTTCAGAAAAACAGGCATATCTTAACAGCATTTTTGCGAACGTTATAATTATTAACTCGGAAACGGTGAGTTCAACATAAAAAAGTATAACTAATATGATTATATGAAAAATCGACCCCTTTTTTGTTCAATAAAAACGCACGGCACTGTCCAAAATAATGTGCATCTCTGTAAAACTGTTCATATTGATGGTTATTCATACCACACCAAATTTGGTTGGAATCGCATGACTAATAACTGAGATATAGAGGAGGCCGTTTAAAGTGAGACACGCTGTATATACATTTCTCAGCAACTTCGACATCAATGTTTTGGTAATCAAGTTTGAAGGACAGCAAAGGAAGGCTGAGGTCAGTTTTCCAAGTTTCTACCTTGCCTTGGTTGAACAAGGCTGATGTGGCAAAAGAGGATGTGTTGAGACAGCCTTTTATTCAATGTTGTGATTGGAGGAAACTACTTAGAAAGGGCTCTCCCTCTTCCTAGTTTGAAGTATACGTTTGCTGGAGCTGGTATAAGCATATCAATAGAACAACGAGCTATACATCCTCCCCTACGAAAAGGCTGTGGTAACAATCAGTCAGCATCCTCCGCTTGATACGACACAATGTTGGCCTCCGTCAATTTTGCACCTATTAATGAAATCATGCGATTTTTGATGCGTTCGTTTATTTATGAAGTCAACAAAACTATTGAGAAGGAGGCTGGAAGGTAACGGAAGAGAATGTCTCCTACATATCTATAGATAGTCAGTAATATTTCTCCACGATGAATATATTCTCACATATAAAACATAAGTGGAGTGAATTCATGGAAGAATCGCAGTTTTCAAGTCATGGAAAGGGTTCAGATGGAATCTTACAAATATTCAATTTTTAATTTTTTTACTTTTTTGAAAATTATGAGAGCTATTTGATCTACCTGTATCGCTTTGAATATGAATTGAAGCTGTAAAGAATTTATGACAACTTTACTCCTATCAATTTTCCTCGTAGGATCAGTATTTTCCCCAATATCTAGCTCAAAAAATGACTCAGACTACGGAGACTACCCTGCACTAATGAGAGCCAAAAAAGCTTGAAACTGGTATATAGGTGTCGTGGCGTTAACCTGGCTAAATCGCAATCAATTGGTATTAGGGAAAGAAACACTTGCATTAGTATTCGTTTATACGTATTGATGCTTAGATTTCGGAAGGATATAATTCAATGTTCTGCGTGGCATTAGCCAGGAAAGTAGTTGTTTTCCTCCCGTCATCTACCATTGTCGTTCATTTTATGGTCATTTGAGGAAATTACTTTGGAGCTTCTTGTATTTATTTGAGCTTTCATTACACTTTGAGCATTGTGGCTATTTCGTAGTTCAAATTTTAATGTTTTTGAAAAATTGGCTCATATTTGAAGTGATGTATCTCGGGAACTATTAGACCTACTGTGCTAAAGTTAGGCTTACATTGTGGTAAATTTATTCTTATTCAAATAAAGTGTGATTCGTTTTTCCGAATTTTAAGCGAAAAAATAAAAAAGTGTAAAAATCTCGCTGTTTATGGCGGATATCTCAAAACGCACCAATTCCAGATTCGGATTCAGCAACCCAAATAACAAAGGGAACGATGATAAAACCGACTACTGCATTTTTTGCAACGTAAAACTACCATTTTCCTGTATTTTCGAGAGAAATGATTAACGCGAGAATAATATTCCTTACCCTGTTATTGTTTTCACTACTAGTACATAATATCTTCCTCACCTAACGGTTTATTGAATTTTTAATGTCACCAAGAGTCGTTGAAAGCTGTCAGATGATTGTCATTTGTTTCTATCATACATTAGGAGGAAGAAATTAAGTGCTATTTGTAGCGAAAATTTATATTTCAAGTTGAAAACGTGATGCATATTGGTGTGTTCTGAAGGTGATAGTAGAAAAATAGTATATTGTTTAACGAGCACGGAATGATTGTGATTTCCTACAAGAATGAAGTTTGCAGCATGAGCCGAATGCTGCAATCATTCGAGTAGGAAATTAGCATTTCGTGCAAGTTATACACTATAAATTTTCTACGGCTAAAATAGATAACAGCAGCATTTACGATTTCTTAGTCTTGTAGACATCTGATTTTCTGTCAAGTAATGCTCACCTATTAGACAGAGCTGTCATTGCTTGAAATTTGACATTCCATGAACGACGAGATTTTTTTGAAATAACACAATGGAGTCATTGTGATATAGGATACGGAAATAAAATTGATGACATACAAAGTACCTCATTGATGTATCGAACACAGTAAAACAAGAGCAATTTTGTGTTATAGCCGTAGAAAAAGTCTTATTTCTACATCATTACATTTTTTGTTACAAAATTCGATTTCCACCTTTCTTGCTATTATTGTTATTTTTCACTTCAAATTGTTGATGTAATTCAACTGAATTCTTGTTATCTTAATAATTCAACTTGTAGGCTAATTTTCAACTCTTTTCGGCTGATGAAGATCATTTGAACTTTGATGGAGTCGTTTTTCACATTAAACATACGAGAAAAACGATTCCTTCTCAGATAGAAATATAATTGAGAATGCATATTTTCCTTATGGCTCACATCAATTTTTCAATATATTGCGTCAAAATGTACAATGTATAAATTGATGAAGTGATTCACTAC